AGTAGGGTTTGTTTGTTTTTCTGCTGACATAGACTCCTTCATTCTCCATTTTCTCTTATGTTTGTTTACCATCAGCTGGTTAATCTGGAGGAGGAGAAGTCAAATTTGGCGGCTCAGTGTGAGGAGCTCCAGCGTAGCTTACAGCAGCAAAGAGAAAACGTACACGCTCCAGCAGGATCCTCCACCTCAGACGCCTCTAGAAGGTGCTGCTGCTGATAAATCATCCACATTCTTCCATGTTTATTCTCTATAGTTCATAATCTCCTCTCTACTTCTGTCCAACCTACTGTGCAGCTTGATCGAACTCCGTCAGAACGTGGGCCGCCTTCTCATCTCCCGGGTACCAGCTTTGGATCTGCAGCAGGTGAATTATGAATGCACCGTCATCGATGAGATCCTGGAGCAGTATCTCATGGGACAGACTACAAATGACTGAAGATGCTACGTCTGACCTGGAAAATCATCCGTACTGAGCAAAGGTCTTCCACCTGATTGGGAACAATCCAGCTCAGTTTTTCTTGAAGCCGATCTGTTTTCATTCCAGGTTGGATCTTAAACGTTTGGACTTGTGAAGAATTTGTACAAGGAGTCAAACAAATCTCTGGGATTTCACTTGTATTTATTTGAAGACGGTTACATTTAGTGATTTTAAATTAAGGATGCAAGAATCTGTTTTCTTTTTTCATTTTTTAAGAGAACCTGAGCTTCATCTGATGTTTGCTTCAATGAATACTTCCAAAAATATTTATATTTTACACTCTTTTTTTTTTTTTTTTTTTCAGCGTCGCACAGCTGAATAAAGCCATCCTTTCTCACTGGCGCAGCATTAATCCTAAAGGCCAGAACAAACCGATTACGTACAACTTTTTAATCTCTGATCCGATTGTTTTCCATGTCACACTGACTGTGTAAAGAGGGTTAAAAGGTTCAGGATCAAATTTGAGACTAAAGTCATATGTAATCTATCTGTTCAGGTCTTTATTTAAACTTTGATTCAAGGTTTTTCTCTTCAAAGACTGATTAGATCAAACTGGTTTGTTACCCCAGCTTCAGAGTCTCTGACTTTTCTCGCTCCCTCTACATTCTAATGCTTAGATTGCTAAATATGAAACTGAACTCGACTAAAGCTCTGGCCAAACATTTCAGGTTATTTTGTTTTATCATGTTTTGAACCAACCGTTGAAGGTTCAGTTCAACTGATGTGCATCTTGTTTTTCCTGTTTGGTTCTCCCTACCTACCTTAGAGTCCCATTAATAGTTTTTATGGTTTAGAGCTTGTATATAATGAGTTAAATCTATTTTTATACTTCTACATTGTGTGTTAATCATTTGTACTCTGTTTACTGTTATAGGGAACTTTGGATTGTTTCAGCAATAAACCCTGCTGTAGATTTCTTAATATTATAAAATAAAGATGAATGGAGCAGCTTTTAAGGCTGGTTTTGCTCAACCTGCAACTTGGAGCACTGGTGGATAATTCTGATTGTTCATTACTATAAATAAATCGATTTTGATATCATGATCCCATGTTGTGACTCCTTTTCATCCGGTGTTACATTTTGTCCCTCCTTGATCTACTCTGGGCAGAACCTCGGCTTGCTTGTTGATCACTGCATAAATGTGTATATTTTGAATGTTGGATTGAGTCAATAAGACTCTAGTGTAACATGCTTTAAGTCAGTAAAAATGGAAATAATATGAAATATGTCAATTTAGAGGTGCATTAAATTTTAAAGCTTTATTTTAGAAGTAAAGAGTCCAAAAGTAAAGCTCGTATATAGATCTATATTGTCATGTACTTTTGTGGTTGCAAGAGCGTTCCTGAAAGAAGCCTAAATATTTAGTTCAAGCATTGACCTAAAAAAGTTTCTCTTAACGCAATTTATTTATGTTATTCTACTTTTTAAAATGTGAAACTTGCATATAGACGATCGTTTAAAGCAGAGGTCTTCAACAGGGGGTCCGTGACCCCTAGGGGGTCCGCGGAGGTACTGCATAGGGGTCGCGAAAGTTTTGGTTGATTAGACTTTTTTTATATTCCCCCTGCAATTTTTTCTACTCATTGAAATGTCTTTAAATCCACATTAACATGAATTCAACACACTGTAGTAAACAGATAAATGGAGGCAGAAGATGTCTTTCAGTCATCAATGCACACATTCAGCGACACACAGGAGCTCTTTCAAGCTGGGCACCGTTTAATTCACAACACCTGTCCCATCAACCAGGAATCAGAATCAGAAATACTTTAATAATCCCATGATAGAACATTATTTCATACCATATATTTAATTAGGGGGTCCCCGCTCCATCTAGCCATCAGTTTGGGGGTCCTTGGTCTGGAAAACGTTGAAGACCCCTGATTTAAAGGGATGTTTTTTATTTCATGATAGTTCCTCGTCCTTTTAATGATTTGATCTAACAGTTAATAGCCCCAGAATCAGTTTTTTGTTATTTATTTTTTTATAAGACCAGAATGTCTGAAAACTAATACAAAAATGTCATATTTAGTCTATATATAAGGAAAACTGACTTGAAACCCAAAAGGTTGAATTACAGAAGTAACTGGCTAAAGGAGCTGAGGTGATTCATGGAGTGCTTCAGGCTTGCATATTAATGGAAACATAAGTGGAAGAACAACGTGGGGTTGAGACATGCACAAGCAAAAAAAATATTCTCCAATCAAGGATTAGGACCCAGTTAAATCAAGAGTGTCTTACTCAGGTCCTTGAATTACTTGTTGAAAATCAAGATCTGGAATCTGAGCTACTGGAGATCCACTGTTAAGTCTCCGTGGTCCAGGACTCAGTGAGCCACTTCATCATTGTTATTTTTATTCAAGCCCAAAGTTAGTGTCGCCATATTGCTGAACAATTCAAAAAATGTATACTTTATTCTGCTTACTAGCCTCCTGGAGATACTCAGTTAATTGTTAAACAGGACTTATTGGTTATGCACACTGCCAAACATACATAATATATGTTTACTATTAAAAAAAAGCAGCTCTCTAAAGAGATAAGCATGTAGGGAAATTTAAATAATCAGATCTATTTAAGGGTCGCAGCTAATTAAACAGTCTAAAAATAGGAATCCTAATTTAGACAGGATACGAACAAGCATGGCCGTCGATGGTGAGCTCTGACATCAGCTTTAATGTAGATATCATTGTTCCATTGAAATTTGCTGCTGGTTTATATTTGATTTCCAATGCAATCAGGGGAGAGAATAATGTGCCACATAGAGGTTACTGTTCCTCGATGATATTTTACGCCCTCTATCATCTATTGCAGTATGGCTGGAGCAGCCTCATGTTTTTTTAAGAATGATGATGTGGAGTTCTACATTAAGATGCTGGTGGTACTTTTCCTTTTTTTTTTTTATCCCTTTCGGTAAGATACTGTCTCTATGTGTTTTACAACAAGGAAAATCCATAAATAAATAAATATATGTTTAAATAGGCTGGGATTTTAGCAAACCAACAATCTGGATTTAACCACCGAACCAAGAAAACTTCAAAAATCCCTGAGATTAATCTAAACTGTTTTAATCAAATCAGAATTTGCATTTATAACTGAGCTGCATCCTATAAACACTAATGTAGGCCTGTGAAGCAACATTTATACCTAATACAAACAAAATGCATTAGATTAATGATTACCATTACCTAGACAGTCTGATTTTTAAATCCAAATAGTAATTTTGAAATTCTCTTGTTAATTTTACTTCTTTGTGACAAACTTTGTGGCATTAATTTCTTAAAGCACATTTTTTTTCTTCTGCTCTGAATAGTTAGCCTTCCCAAATTTGATTGTTTCATTTGATTTTGCTTTAGCATAACATATTAATCTTATTGTGTGGCTTAATATGTAGCATTATGTTAGGAGTTTTAATAGTTTAAAATTTGTGACAATGAAGGTGAGGATGCGGGTCTGACCAATAAGAACACTGTTTGTAAGATTCAAAATCAGGTTTGTGTTCAGTGGGAAATAAAAGGATCAATTTGGCTCCAACCATAATACAAACACACATTAGTATTTCTGAACGTAACAGACTTATTGCCAACATACTACAGGCTGTATAACACAGGTATAAACAATATGAATCCACCAATCATGTGTGGTTATTTAAATACTTTGTTACCTTTCTTAAGTAGAAATTTTGCCTATCTATCCTTTACTAGATTCATCATTTTATACAACTTTTTACTTCTACTCCTTCCAGTTTTTATGCAATTATCTCTAATTTCTACTCCTTGCATTTTAAAAACAGAATTGTTAGTTTTGTTTCATTTAATCACATTTTCGTTACAGCCTGTTGGTATAAAAAAATTATTAAAAACTCTCTGTGCTTTCTTTGTGGTTGGACTTTATTACTGCACCAACTTGTTGTTCATATACAAAATGAATTGTTTTTCAACAGGATATTTGAAAAAAGTTAGATTTGACACTTACCATTAGTTATAAAACTAATAAAATTGAGTATGATGAAGTTATCATCCAGAATTGTAGAAAATGTCCCTTTAATAGGGTAGAGTAACCAGGTTTAAATTATCTATCCTCAACATTTTTTCATTAATTACTTTTATACTCTAAGAAGTTTTAAGCATGGTACTTTTACACTTTTACTAAAGTGAAAAGCTTATGTCTAACTTTTTTTTAAACATGTTTTCTCTGTGCTTTTAATAAAAAAAGGGCTGCGCACCAATTCCCCTCTGCTAGAGGCCGAAGGCAAGTCTAGTAATTGTCTGAAAGTTACATTTGATGTTTTCATCATTGCTTTCATATGATATTAGCATTCGATAACATAATCTACTCAGATATCCTAGAAGGAGGTTCTTGGCTCCCCGTCGATGGGAAAATAACAAACTGCTCTCGATTTCAAGGGATAAACTCCACTTTTGCTCCTCTCCACTCCCATCCAAGTCAACCAACAGTTAAACGTTGAGGAACATACCCAACAACTCCGCCCCTTCTGCCCTCTCGTCCAATCAAAGCGCTCTCCTTCCCCGGAAGTAATGAGCGAAACGTACGCGGGAAATAGGCAAAACTTATTCTGCTGCTGAACGAAACAGGTAAAACATTCAAACTTCGTTCAGGATAATTTGAGTATTGTGGCTGATATTGATAACATCTCCCGTAGTTTTGTCACTCTATACCTGAAATATCTCGGTAGTATTAGATGAACGCATTATTATTGTTAGTTTTTTGTGTGTGTGAATAGAAACGAGCCGGATTAACCCGCTCTGTTTGCTGCTAACATTAAAAGCTAACGGTAGCATTTGTTTGGAGTGACATAAACCGTTTTAAGCATCTCTACTCTTCTAAATTACTATGCTACATTATTGGGACAGTTTCATTATTTTAATCGATTTAACGTGATTTAAATAACCACGAATAGATGTTGGTTTTCATTATATTAAATATTTTTCATCTCTTAAGGGGAAAAATGAAGGTGGTGACGTGTGAGATCGCCTGGCACAACAAGGAGCCTGTGTACAGTCTGGATTTCCGGCACAGCACAGAGGGACGTTTCCATCGACTGGCCACAGCTGGGGTGGACACCACAGTTAGAGTGAGTGGAGAGGAAATCCTCTCTGTAGCCTTATTTAGCTGATTGGTGATCAATCAACATGCACTCAAAACACTTTACTCACAGTTTAAGATCAAGAGTCAAATCCTCCGAAAGAAAAGTTAAGGATCTTCAAATAAATCTGTTTAGGAAACCTCTATGTTTACATCTTAAGGTATTCTATCTCTGATTCTTTCCTGAGAGGAGATCATAATGATTATAATGTTTATGTATTAAATAACTATGAGACATGAGAGCAGATTTTGACAGAAATTGTAATTATACACCAGGCTTGCATCTTCAGAAAGTCTGCCCAGAATACCAGTTAAAGAAGCATTTTATACATCTCCAGGGTCTCCCCCTGCCACATCATCTTATCTAACATAATTACACCACACACATGTTTGTATGTCAGGAGCATCACTGGCTTCAGTGAGATAGTATACAGTGTTCTTAGAGCAAGGGCAACCTGAATGCACTGTGACAGAGCTGTCAATACAAATAATAAAATTATTGAACTCACATTGGAGAAATGTACCTCTGCATTTAACCCATTCCCTTGGAGAGCAATGGGCTGCCATCGTGGGGCGCCCGGAGAGCGGTTTGGGTTTAAGGGTCCTGCTCAGAGAACCCAGATTGGCAGTCTGTGGGACTCACAGTTCTATGCCCTAAACATTAGGCCGCTACTCCCCTCAAAATAAGAGTATTCTACTCTGTCTGTGTGCTCCCATATCAATCCCAAATCTTTATTACATACATAAAGATTCATTTTAACCCTGACAGAAGAACTGTCCTAATTAGCTAAACTTACACCACCCTTAACATTTACCAGGCAGGTAATATTAGGATTTAAGAATTATCATCAACTTTTGTAGATCTCTTTAAAACGGCTACAGCTGGGAAAAAAGTGCAAAGTGAAATATGGGTAAAAAATAGTAAGGGATAATAAAATACAGCATAAATATATAAAATAAGGCAATAATTAAAAGTTTGTTTAAGCTTAATAAACAAGGTCACGACTGCAAGTGTTAAAAGCCAGCGAATAAAAGTACGTTTTGAGCCGTGCTTTAAAATTTTTCAGTGAAAGAGCCTGCCTAACATACGGCACATTCAATCACATACATGAATAATACAAACAATCCTAACATATCTAGGGGGGAAAAAAACAAAGAATATAGTTTGAGGAGCATACGGGTCAGTTAATGATGATGTTTACATTAGAAATCCATGCAGTTATGATAATATTAGTAAATACAGGGGATTATTTTTTTTACACACAGTAGTGACTTTCTAAAGTATTTACATAAAGGTTTGATTTTAATACCCTTTCATTTAGTCAGCTGAGACTAAATTGAAAAAGTCAAATGTTTAAAAAGGATATTTGAAAACAGTAATTGCACATTAGGCTTAATGCACAATCTCCCTGACGTATAGTTGTAGCAGCATTACGATGGGGGTTGATAGAATGCACTTATAAAATAATTTGCATTATGTTGTGTAGTCCTCTTCTTAGCAGCTTCTTTTTACATTAAATTAGAGGGTAGATGTCTTTAATCTGCCTTAAAGGTACACTATGCAACCGGTGTTGATTTTCCAGTGAGGCTCCCTCCAGAGGGCGAAAGTAAAAGTGCACTGTCGTAAATATGCACAGCTGTTCTCCTGGTTTCTCCGTCAAGCCAGGCGCGGTTGTTTTGAGCTTAGCAGCGAATGACTAACGCTGCGTTCACACTGGACGTAGCTGGCGCGACAGAAGCAGCGAGTTTACATGCAAAGTCAATGGTTGACGCGCGTCAAGGCGCAGCAAAAGGTCCAGCGGCGCGTTTTGAGCACCAGGCGCAGCACGTCTGAGCAGCTGAAGCAGCGCGTCGGGTGCGTTTAACGCAGGGAGAGAGACACAGCGCTGATGATCACTCCTCTTAAACAGTTTATTGACGCCTAAACTAACTTAAAATGCAGAAATCTGCCGGCAGAATATGCAGTTTGGATTATTTAGATGAAAAACACCTACCAGCTGCCGCGGTGAACCGCTGCTGATGAAGGGATCCATACTGTCGGCGCCCCGCTGGGGTCTGAGCGGCTCCGACAGAAAAAATATTGAAGGCAGGATAATAATCTGAATGAACTGACTGCACTGATTACGTTTTCAGGTGTATTTTCTCACTTAAAAACATATTAAAACTACTTTATTCCCACTGATCACAGCATATATAGCTGCAAGGCAGAGAAAGGATAGTGAAGCTCCGCCCAACGCGCCTCAGACACACTTTTGCACCGCGCAGCCAGAGCAGCAAAGCTGCTTCAGCCTCGCGTCAGAACTAACTGGTACAAGCAGCAAAAAGGAAGCAGCAGACGCGATTTTGCTGCTTTTGCTGCGTGAACGTAGCATAACTGCACAAAGATTGCCACTGTGCTAGCAACGAGAATGCTTTTAATGGGGGCGTGTAGCAGTTCTCGCTGTAAAGCAAGACTGACTCTCACGAGACTTCTGAGCCTGTGGGTGCGGGTCGGTGCTCCTGCAGTTGCAAGTGCAGTATTTCCCCCACAGACCACCAGGGCGGCCGAGAATACCTTTGTTCAACCTGAAATGACTCATTTAGTCATCCATAACGTTATGGAACACATTAATTAACTGAAAAATGTTGCATAGTGTGCCTTTAAGTTTTTATTAAAACACACAAAAAGTTGCAGTTTTTCTTGCTTAAGAATTTCCAGGACACAGATTACCTGTCCCCACCCATCCTCACCAACTTCTACAGAATCATCATAGAGAGCATTCTGACCAGCTGTCTCACTTGTGTGGTGTGGAGGCTGCAGCGCCTCAGACTGGAAGAAAGTGAGAAGAGTAGTGGGAACAACAGAGAAGATCATCGGGGCTCCTCTTCCCTCTATAAAAGCTGAACCATGAACTGTTCTCCCTGCTGCCCTCTGGGAAGAGGCCTCGCAGAATTCCATGCAGGTCCTGCAGATTCCACAACAGCTTCTTCCCCACCGCCATCAGACAGCTGAATGTTGAAAAAACTCCAATTCATGTCACAGACTCTGTATCACACTGATAGCACCAAACCAAAAATACTGCATATTTGCACCATATATATTAATGCTCTGATCTTCCTTAACAACGCATTTTTGCACCATGTTTTTTTTTCCTCTCACACTGTTTACGTTTGATCACTGTTGCACTTTATGGAATGGAAATGTCCATTTACTATATTGAAAGCTGTACTAAACAAAATCTCATTTTGTATACACATGACAAAGTCTAAAATATTCTGCTGACCTTCATTCTCAATTTAAACATGCATTTTAGATGCACAAATATTTCCCTATGTTTGGTAATCGTCTGTCAAATCACCAGATTCTTGGTGTTTATGAGTTGCAAACACTATTTGATGGAGTCATAAAGACTGAAAGAGATTTTAAAACAATCAAACATCCACATCTTTGACCTTTTAGGCTGAGCTGCAGCGGGGAAGACGAGGGAAAATATATTAAAGATGTGTACATTTGCGGCAATGCTCATCAATCAATAGCAAATGACAAATAAAGGCGGGGAAAAAGGGAGGATGATTAAAAACATTTTTTTTTACTTTCACTTGATGTCTTCCCCTCCCTAATAGACTTCCATCCATCATTAAAAGGCTAAAGGAATTATACCCCCCCTCCCCATGATATTATTCTCCATATTGCATACACTTTTATGTTTTTTGATGCAGTTAATTTCTAATAAGCTGCAGTTACACCTCTGTTAGATGAGGGTGTGTGTTGCTGAGCCTGTTTGTAGAAGGTATTCAGGGTCCTGTTTCTCTGTGCAGCTGTGGCGGGTGGAACAAGGTCCAGACGGGAAGGCTGTGGTGGAGTTTTTGTCTAACTTGGCCCGGCATACCAAGGCGGTCAATGTGGTTCGCTTTAGCCCTAATGGAGAGCTGCTCGCTTCAGGGGGAGATGGTAAGCCCAGAAATATAAACTTTTCTTCGTTTTTAAATACACTCTTTTTGATTAGATTAAAGACATGTCTATGATTATATTTATTTATGTTTTACATCCAGATGCAGCTATTCTTTTATGGAAGCTTAATGACTCCAAAGAGCCGGAGCAGGCGGCTGTGTTTCAGGACGAAGAGGATTCTCAGCTCAACAAAGAGAGCTGGTCTGTGGTCAAAACACTCAGGTACACGAAAGCAGGAGGGACAAATGTGTGCTATATTGAGAAGCTCGTAGTTTTAAAAATAAATGATTAGCCCTGTAATCATTTATCTAGCTTTAGTCACCTGCTGCGGTGGTTTAAAGCGGATGGTTTTACATTTCCATCTCCTCGCTTTGTAGACAAGTCACAGGTTTGATCTCAGGGTGTCATCCCACATCTTAATATTTATCCTGCATAGAGCAATTCATCTTTTTAATTCTAAGAAAAAAGAAGTCTGAATGTTGCAAGCTCTGGGAAAACTCTGGATATTGCTGATGCGTCTAAACTAAACAAAATCTTTATATAATCGTTGCCTTTTAATTATCATATGATTGTGAGGAAAACTAGATTTTTTGTTAACTATTTTTAGCCTCTGTTACACACCTTTTAATGCCCCAACTACGACTGACCAATGAATAATGAAGTTTGACAAGGCTTCTGTTTTACCCCGATCTGTTGCTCTCTGCTTTGTCCCCAGAGGGCATATAGAAGACGTGTACGACATCTGCTGGACACGTGATGGAAACTTCATGATTTCTGGATCTGTTGACAACACTGCTATAATGTGGGACATCAACAAAGGTCTGAAGCCGTATTCATCTGTGCAGCATTCATTAAAAAGAATGACTCCCTTCATGTTTTATACTGGTTTGGTGTCCAGGTCAGAAGTTGTCTATCTTGAATGACCACAAGAGCTACGTGCAGGGAGTGACCTGGGATCCTCAGGGGCAGTATGTCGCTACCCTCAGCTGTGACAGGTAGGAAATAAACTCTATATTTAAGGCTGCACGTGTGCTGTGATAAAGTCCTAACCAGTTTTATTTTAAGGTGACTTCTTCTCTGTGTTTTCTTTTTGTGTATCAGAGTGATGCGTGTTTACAGCACGCATACCAAGAAGAAGGCTTTCTGTATCAGCAAAATGAGCTCTGGACCTCTTGCTGATGGAGAGGTTTGTTTTATAAAAAAAAATAAAATAAATAGTAGCTTCAGGACACAACTTTAAACTTTTCACTCTCCTTTCAATTTTGTTTTCTCGCAGATTTTATCACCTTTCTCTAAATTATGTGGCTTTTCTATAATAAACATCAACAGGGCTTCCGTAGATTCCTAAAAAATTTGAGACTATAATTCATTTAGCTTTTTTTAACAACAGTGAGGTGTGAGGGAGGGAAAAGAAAGTGATACAGAAATGTTAGTTTATTTCTTAGTCTGTAAGCTAGTATATGAAAAAATATATATTTCCTCTGCTTTGTAGATCATTTCAATTTTTAATTTAAAATGTTAGAGTTTCTGAATTTTAAATTGAAAATTGTGTTTGGGACAGTATTTCTTCAATTTTTTTGGCAACCAAATTAATTTAATATTTAATTGAAGGAGGAGAAAATCTGATTTAAATAGCTATGGCATTTTATGATTATTATATTTATGGTTTGGCGTCTATAATAGAAAATCCCTTTATTGTCCCACAATGGAGAAATTGTGGTTTTACAGCAGCAAAAGTTTACAGCAAAAAGCTAACCTAGTAAACTAGCCCCACCTGCCAGCGGGCAAAATCATTTTGGCCTGTGAGTTTTAAATTAAACATTTAGTCTGGTTTATCAGGCTAGCAAAAGCGTAAGCAAAAGTGACCTTTAGAAAGTGTATAAAAATAACAATAATTTTAAAAGTAAAAAAAAAAAAATAGACAAAGTTCTTTACTATACTGTGTTTTTACAATATAAATACTCTTCATCTGAAGAATAAATAATAAATATACAGCTATGGATATTTTTACAGTATATGGGAAAATTTAGCAGCAACACCAAAGATGCAAAATGACAGCAGCATGTTATTTAACCGACTAAAACAGAAACTACAAAACCAGCATGAATGTAACAACTTCATGAGATTGTTGGGAATAGTGGTGGTTATAGAGTCTTCCAGCTGCTGGTAGGAAAGGTCTGTGATAACGCTCCCTGGTGCATTTAAGGTGCAGCTGTCTGTCACTGAAAATCTAGTGGTTTTTGGCTCATAGTTGTGGTCTGGATAGAAGTGCATCTCATGTGGGAATCTTTAATCAACTAATCTTTCTAAAGGTCTTAGCTTTCTTGATAACTCAATACTTTTTAATGTGGAGAAACAAGTTTTGCATTATTTGTTCTTAATTCTTGTAGTTTAGGATTTAACAAAACAAGGCAGCAAAAAAGTAATAATCATTTTATCGGGTACTATCTGTAGTTACCAGTGGAGAATTTACTGTTAAATCATCTTTTATACATAACCTGTCATTAAAAACATTTAAAAGCTGTTTTTGCTGCTGTTATTAAAATATGTTTTATGTTTTTGTAATGTAGAGATTTTATTATTCAAAGAAAGTAATAATTTTGTTTCTCTTTCTTTTACTCCTTTAATATAATTCATTCAAAAAGATCCTTAGCTTTATTTATCCCAAACAGAACTTTTAATAAAATAAATAATAACAATTTTAAATTAATAATAAAACTGTTTTGCAATAAAGCACTAGATATTTTGACATCAGCAATAATCCAACAGTGCTTTTTAAAAATAGAAGAAGGTATTGTAATCTGTGGAGATGAGATTTATTACAATAAAAGTGGTTTTATCTTTTTTCAAATGCTGCTAAATCTACTTAAACATTAAAAACATTAATTATCAATGATCTTTGATAAAAAGATAATTTCTGCCTGTAAACATTTGGTATTTTATTTTGGTGTGTAACTCTGCAGGTGAAGCAGTACCGAATGTTTCATGATGACAGCATGAGGTCCTTCTTTCGCCGCCTTTCATTCACACCTGATGGGTCTTTCCTTCTTGCTCCAGGTACGCCTGATCCAGTTATTTATTTGTTAATAGATTGTACCCTGCTGATATTATTCACTGTAATATATTGAGTATTTGATCTCCTGCTGATTTTGTAGGTTTTGTCTCTTCCATAATTTTTTTGTCAGTGAGTGATTAAGTGTAAAATATAGCTTAGAATTTTTAATTCTTCTCAGATGACGGATTGAACATTTTTTGGTTGTTTTCTTTTATTCCTCCTTAAAGTCACACCTTGAAGATTTAGACCAGCCTGACATACAAAAAAAATCTGTTAAAAACGCTTACATAAATTGGTTAAGTTATGTGTATGTTTTGTATAAGTTATAAGCTGAAACATGCTGGCAAACGAATTTTAGGAGATTCTGGGACGTCAGACATACGCTGGCTAAATCAGCAAGGTGTGAAAGTGCCCTAACATGAGGATTGCCCTGTACCTTGCAGAAGGTCTACCAAGCTTTCAAAGATGGTGTCTGATAGTGTATCTTCATCATCCCACTGTGACTAACCCCCTGTCTGCTTTTCTCTTGTCCTTTGTTGTAATGATAGCCGGATGTGTCGAAGTGGGAGAATCCATCATAAATACCACCTACATCTTCTCCAGGAAAAGCCTTAAAAGGTAAAACTCGTTTTAAGTTTGTTGCTTTCATCTTATCATAAATCATCCAGGAGGTGCTTCATCTTTCTGCTGGTCTGTTAGGCCTGTTGCTCACCTGCCCTGTCCAACCAAAGCCACCCTGGCTGTGCGCTGCTGCCCCGTCTACTTTGAACTCAGAACCAAAAAGGGAGAAGGTAAGGACCAAGAATCATTAAACATGGTAGCTTCTCTGTCTCCAGTCTTCATTCTTCTTCTACGTGTTTGTTCCCATCGCCTCCTTCCAGATGGCTCTCCCCTGCCTCTTCCCAACCTCTTTCAGCTGCCGTACCGTATGGTGTTTGCGGTGGCCTCAGAGGACTCCATCTTCCTTTACGACACTCAGCAGAGCCTCCCCTTTGGCCTGGTGTCCAACATCCACTACCATACTCTCAGCGACCTCACATGGTAAACCTCCAACGCTTCTATTGGCTCAGAGTCAGAAGAAATTGGCCTGTGGTGTTTCTAGGAGCTCCACAGTCTGCTGGTTGTTGGACAGCGAGGGTCAGAACATGGCTGACTTTTGTTCCCTTTTAACCTTCTTACATCCTCAAAGAAGCAGCTAGGCTGTTCTTAACTTTTACTCTCCTCCCGCTGAGGTTTTGCTGAAGAACCTCAGACTGCATGTTGGCAGTGATGTTTTTTTCCTTAAAGGAATAGTACACCCAAAACATGATTAGCCTTCATTTTCTACTCACCCCCATGCTGAACAACACTCTGGAGTACTTTTTTGATATCTCAAATGCATCTAGAGATCTGGGAGGCTTCTTGCTGTCTGCTGACATTCAAATAATGGAGGTCTACGGTGCCCGAGACAGAAAGGTCCATAAAAGTCCACAAAAAACGTGTCAATATTCCTCCATACTGCTCGTCCAATGTATTCCAAGTGTCCTGAGTGGGTAGCATCCAGAATTTACTCGAAACGAAGTCATTTAGAATGTTTTTAGAGCATAAACAGTAGTGTATAGGATTTCCTGAAAGCGCGCGCCAGCGCGTTCAGGACGCTACGGAAGCCGGCAGACCAAACCAGATGAAAGTGCGCATTCAGCGTCTGCTCTGCCGATAATGCAAGCATAGAAGAAGAAATGTGCTGTTTACCTGTGCAAAGAAAGAAACAACGAAAGAAAAATGTCTGAGGACTTCAGTGTTGAGGAAGAGCATGAGTTCTTTGCCGAGCTGAATGCGCTGGTTTGGTCTGCCGGCTTCCGTAGCGTCGTGAACGCACATGTGCGCGCTTTCAGGAAATCCTATACACTACTGTTTATGCTCTAAAAACATTCTAAATGACTTCGTTTCGAGTAAATTCTGGATGCTACCCACTCAGGACACTTGGAATACATTGGACGAGCAGTATGGAGGAATATTGACACATTTTTTGTGGACTTTTATGGACCTTTCTGTCTCGGTCACCATAGACCTCCATTATTTGAATGTCAGCAGACAGCAAGAAGCCTCCCAGATCTCCAGATGCATTTGAGATATCAAAAAAGTACTCCAGAGTGTTGTTCAGCATGGGGGTGAGTAGAAAATGAAGGCTAATCATGTTTTGGGTGTACTATTCCTTTAAGCACTAGAATACTTTTATATTTCTGGCCTAAATAAAATGTTTATAACAGGCTTTAGACTTAAAGGCACAAGGGCCGAATCTTGCAGATCGGGGCAAATTATCTGGCCCCATAGAGCCAAATGAAGGAAATCATGCCGTACAGTGGAGGTAAATGTTCTTCTAAGCATTCAAAGTGGCTAACAATAAAACAGGAGAGTACTTTGCTCTTTGTAAATTAAAAGATGAATTCAAAAGTTTATTTTATAGAGTTCCAACTGGCTGTATCAAAGATCTGAAAATGCAGACATTTAAACAAATGAGTGTGTCAGCCCTGCTTTAGTGTAAAGTAAGGATACACTGATTGCACTTTTCTGGCTGAGCTTTAAATAAATCTGACCTTCAGATTCAGAGCAATACAATTTTTTCTTTATTTTAATTTTGTTTTCTAACCAACATTTAGGGCTTATACAGGCAGATCCACTGTAGATATTCAATCTTATTTTGTTGAGAAACATTGAACATTGACTCTGAAACTAAACTTGTTTAAACTGCACATAGAAGAAGCCTTCTCAAATATAAATTAAGAGTTTAAGGCATCAATGGCAGCTGATTTTTAGGGCTTTGTGGAGGTGGATAAGATCGGTTTTACAATAAACATGACCCTCACCAGTCATTTAAAACCAAGGAAATGGTGCCATTGTGGTGTAAAGCAGGAATAGAGCTCAAACTGTTTTTTTTACCTGATCTTGGTCTTGTTTCTCTGGCCTCGACAAATTGTTCCCAGGCTGGTTTGAGTCTTTTTAATAAAAAAAACAAACAGGAAATGATAATATTGCAAAATGGGAGTCCCATCGATCTTCACCTGCAGACGCACACTGCACTGCATGTGAATTAAAAACAGTGATCAGAGCACTGCAGGATCCCACCCCCAGGCTAATATAATTTTGCAATTTCTCATAATGACCATGGTATCTTACATTGTTTACAACACCATAGCATTGACCGATTTGCTTTTTTTTTTTTTGCAGCCATTCACTGAGAACACGCCTGGGTTCAGTTTCAATAAGCAGGTTTAAACCTGAAACCTGGGAAACTGACTTTTCTGTTTCACAAAGAGAGTTTCCTCAACCTGTTTCAGTCACCATAGTAACATTCTCCCCAGAGCTAACCTGGTCCTTAGCAGGTTTTCTTCAGTGAACTCGGTGTCCTCTATCTCCGCTCTCCTAACAGCCAATCACGTTGTTTTATTTCCTGATTTAGTCAGCAGATTTTTGTTGTAGGTTTGTGCATAAAAAAATATAAAAAAATCATTCACTAGGTCCATTAGTATCATTAGGTTTTAAAAACAAACATTCTATGTCCGTTTGACGAGGATCTTATTAAAGAAGGATTTGCATTTTTTTTCACAGAGAAATATATATTTATAGGGAGAGGATTCTACACCTCAACATTTGGATTGTTTTAATATTTATTTTTACAGTAAATGAAGAACTACTGAAATTATTTTCAGATTAAACATAGATTAATTAATTCCATGAAGGGAAAAGGAATTACTTTAGGGTTAGGATAAGGATTCATTCGGTGATAACAACCTACTGAGCTATTAGGCTCAGTAGGTTGTTATCACTGAATAACATAATATCCGAAGCGGCTGCAAACAGAACATTAGTGTTTACTGTCAGTTTGATTCTGTTACTTTGACAGAATCAAACTGACCCTTGAGATGATGGTCTTATCTATTGGAACAACTTTTTTATTCTTCATCACCACCTGCTGACAGATGATTTCACCTAAAGAGATGCATTGATCCACAACCATTCAAGAAATAAACCCATAATGTTGTCATGGTCACAGCAGGCTATGGCGAGACGTTTTCATATGTATTATTTTGTCTGAATGTGTATTCCTGATATCTGGAAAAAAGTCCTTGTCTAAATGACCATATTAAACAAAATTACACTCTTCATATCTAGAATAAATAATTCTAGAAGTCTAGAAATTAATTTCCTAATATTACTGGTCAGCATTTGTATTATTTTGATTATGAAGAAATTTTCAGTCAAATAGGCAGAAATGGGCACTTCCTGTTGCGTATTGTTACGGTGACTCGTCAAATCAGGGCTCCACTAATGATTGCTTTTCTTACTAGTTAAGCACGTGTTCAGCTCTGATTGTATCTTGTTAGAGTTGATTGAACAAGGGTTGAAACAATAAATCGAATTAATCAGATTAATCAATAATTGAAATAATCAACTAACTAAACATCAACTAATTTAATAATCGATTTACCGTTAGCTGGAGTATAGAAACTGACAGAGCAACCCACTTAAAACAGTAACCATACCAAAATTGTAAAAAAAATATATAAACATTTGACATTTAAGATAAGATAAACGTTTTGGTCTGTTAATATGCTTTATCCAGAACTCGTCAAGTGGAAAAGCTTGAGTTTCACCTGGTTTGTCTTGTTTAAAGAATTTTTGTTTATCCGATTATTAATCGATTAATCAATTTGCAAAATAATCGTGAATTGCAGCCCTAGATTGAACTAATTCATGGTTGTGAAACTGAAAACTCAGAGTTCCTGACATTAGGCCACATCAATTTAGAGTTGTGGATTTGAATCTCAGGTTGTTAAACCTGCTTCTTGAAACGGACCCCTGCTCTCTAATCACCAAACATGTCCTCAGTTTAAAAAAATTTTTTTTTATCAAATTTGTTTTTCAAAAGCATGAAGAATTGAAAAAAAGGAACAGAGAAAAACAGCGGAGAACATGTAAATTCTGTCCACCTCCAAGTTTTGGAGGGACAATGTTTAGTTTGAGTATCCATTTAAAGACCAAGCTAAACAGTATCGCCGCTCCACATACAGAACTCTCTGAACCAGCTGATGAAGGGTAGCAATGAAGCTAAAAACATAAATTCAGTCTTACCTTCGCTGTATTAAGGTCTTAATCTATGAAAGATAAAATATATATCCGTATCGCTCCTGTAACTGTGATACATTGTCCCAGTGTCAAAGCTTCCCGTGATTTTTAGAAGCCGACCATGGCTTCTTTTGGCTCTGACCGTTACGATGTACGAATCAATCCGTCATAAAATATTCTCAGCAAAATCTACCTCATTTGATCTAGTGCCAATCCCCCTTTATTAATCTTTACAAAAGTTAACAAAAAGTTATTTGGGGAGATTAATTGACAATTTTTCCATTAATTTTTGCATTTTGTGATTTATAAAAATATAACGTCCAGAAATATTGACTCAATCTGAAGTGTAAAGTACTTTGACTGACTGGTCACTATGGCTAGAAAACAGATATTGACACTACGTTTTTGACTAAATGCTGAAACAAGCATCTCTGACTTGTATAAATATTAGTGCTGTCAATCGATTACATTTTTTTAATCGTGATTAATCGCATCAATGCCTAAGTTAACTCGCGATTAATCGCATTTTAATCACACATTTTTTTTCTGATTGAAAATCATTTAAATACTCTCGATGACATACAAAAAATACATACAGGCTAGGTTTGTGCCAATGTTCTTTTTTTAAAATGAAAACAGGTCACAGACACTGATTTATGCCATAGAAACATATGGCAAGAAGATGGGGAGGCATGTAGCAAAAAATAACAAATATGTAGCCAAAAAAAAGGCCCTGAAAACAGGCTGATGTAAAAGACAGTCTTTACAGTTAATACAGTCTTTTGAACAAAGACAAGCATTTTACCCTACTGCTATAAAATGTAGTACAGTTAACATTAGATGTTAATTAACCAAGATAATAATGAACAATTTTCAATCAATACATCAAAATCAATAGACCGACATTACTAGATGAAGGTAGTCTATGCTCTAGAAAGTTACTTTTCAGCCTCTTAACAAAAATGAGAACACACACACACCCACCCACACACACACACACGCGATACTGACCTGTGGCGTACACAGACAGCAAGAGTGCCGTAGCAGATTCCATTTCACCTCAGTAATCTGTTTTCTCAGCGTATTTCAGGTTGCTACTAGTTACCAGACACTCAACTTGTTTGTTGGTGGTGGGGCTTAAAGAAAAGGCACTAGCGTCACCCAGTGTATGAGCGTCTTTTTTCCTTGAGGAGCTCCGCTCTCGAAGCCTATGGAAAATGCATAGACTGGGGGAAAATAACCCCGCCTTTCCGCAGGCTGCAGCGGGATGTACTTGGAAAATTGTACCATAAAACCACATAGCATTAATCTAACGTTAAAAAAATTATCGCCGTTAAAATGGCCTCGCGTTAACGCGATAATAACGCGATAATTTTGACAGCACTAATAAATATAAAACAAAAAGAAAAGGGGGGCATAAACCTGCAGCTGTGTGTAAATATGTTAGAAGTTATTTCAATAAACACATCAGATATAAAGCATGTAAAAGTGAAATCACTCCGTTAAACAGTCTTCTTCATGGTTTCCATCCCACTGACATGTCTGTACCACGTCCTGTTTAGGTCCAGCGATGGCTCCTTCCTGGCCGTGTCATCAACAGACGGCTACTGCTCCTTCCTGTCCTTCTCTCCTGGGGAGCTGGGCACGCCGCTGAAAGAGCCCCCCACCTTGGAGGTCTTTGTCCCAAACGGTGGTGTTGAGAAGAAAGGAAAGAAGTCATCTACAGGCAAAAACTCCTCTCCTGTTTCCCAGTCATCAAGCTCTGCTCTGAATCCCACATCCCAAACCAGCAGTGTTAAAAAAGACTCGCCGTGCCCCACCCCTCTGGAGGAAAAGAGGAGTACCCCTAAAACCAAACCTGGACCACAGCCTCGCAGGATCACCCTCAACACGCTGGAGGGCTGGGGGAAGCCCACCACCCCGAAAGACTCCACTTCTTCACAGAGTCAGACTCCGACATCTGGAAGGACGAGCGCACCCTCAACTCCTCAGCCCAGCGTTACGCCCCTCACCCCCACCAACTCCGCTAAAAACAGCCCCCACACCGCACCCCTCACTCCGTCTACATCCAAGGTTCTCAATACTGCTGAATCCACAACCCCAAAAGGTCCCCCCACCCAAAAAGGACCCACCCCAAGGTAAATATCAGAGGAGAGAATCATTAGTAATCAATATTATCTAGCTTCTTATATTTATTTATTGATAGACCCTTAAGTGCATCACTGACATATTTCAAAAATAGAAGGATAATATACACTTATATGTTCAGATTGGATTGTTTTCCCAATAAAAATGGAAAAGAATGAGTCCACTGATAAAGCATTAGATAAACCATAATGGATCCTCTGGAAGGCAAAGGTGCTCCTTAAATAAGTGAATAAATCGTTGAATATTTAATCTGACATTTAAATTATTGAATTTGATTTCATTCCAGTAGTTTTCATCTCCCAAAAAAAATGGTTAAAGTTTAAGGGCTTTTGAGTACGACGCTGAAATTTGCTTCTGATCGCAGCTTTGAATTTGGAAAACTTCTAAAGGACTATTCCATTTCTACCCCCCCCCCCCAATGCCTTAACCATCTTTAATCTGCTCTACTTCAAAAATGACAATATTACATTTTTCAAATCTCCACAGAAAAGTCATTTTTCTGACATACCTCCTTAACAGCTGGACGGTATGTTGCACCATGTCGGTATGTTGCACAATGGTTGTTTTTGAGATCCACTGGTTCCAAGTTTCCACTCTCTGCAGCTGTTCTCTGCCTTCCTCACTGGTCAGATCCTGGTTTATTAAGATAATATGCTTATCTCATTAACCCCCTACGGATATACAAAAGTAGCTTTAGAAATGAGCCCCTGCTTGAGCAGATTTGACATGCAAATAAAGAAAACATTAACTGCGCTGTACTCAAATGGGATACAATGTCAATGTCAAATTTTTAAAAACGGGTATAAACCTGCACCAAAGTGCTTCACAGGAAAGACAACATCAGATTAACAAAACAGAATGTGAAACACTGCTTCAATTAAAAGCTGAAGAATAAAAATAAGTTTTAAGAAGCGATTTAAAATGATCCAGGCTGTGGGCAGATTTAATTTGAAGAGGTAAATGGAGCAACAACAGAGAAGGCCCGATCTCCTTTCCTCTTAAGCGGAGTCTGAGGAACTGTCAGTAATAGTTGATTATTAGAGCATAGACTTCTTGACACAGACTGGAATTTTAAAAGGTCTCAGAGTGAAATAAACAGCATATATGAAGGATACAGACTGAAAACTAAGATCCTTCATAAATAACCCTTTTTTCACTTTTTTTTTCCCTAGATGGATTATTTAGATAATCAGAGACCAGCTGGCATAAAATTACACAAATACTATCCCTTCAGCTATGGAGCAAACTTTATGAAAACGAGATCTGCTGAAAATTTTGGCTCTTTTAAAACAGGACTGAAAATTCTACTCTTTACTCCAGTTACCCTTTCAATCCTAAAGATCACTCTGGGATTTTCATAAGCTCAGCATTTTATTCTCTCTTATTTCATCCTTTCAATGTTTCCTTATTGATTAGTTTAAGATTGTTATCATTGCTTTTTTCTTTAAAGTACTTTGTATGCTGCAATCTGTAACATACACAGCACTGTATTTTGCTGCATCACAGTCACTTTCACACAAACACACACCACATGACCAAGCTCCTCCCCCTACTGAAAGAAAAACAGCTGCAACTACATGGAAGCAAACAATGGATTTTATTATCAGCCCAGTTTCACTATTTCTTGCTTAATTTTGAATATTGCAGTTCAATTAAGTTTTTTTTCTTTTCAAAACATTGTTACAAGGAATGCTGAGGGTCCCTTTATTTATATTAAGTCAACCAGGCGCTGCTCATTTTCAAGATCAGGCATTTGCATCCAGCTGCTGGTTAAACCAGTGGATGTTTTTCTATTGTCTGATAAGTTTAGTTAAAGGGACCAAAAGTGGCACTGCTGATTCTGTGCTTCGATGTTGACTTTAATCTGTTTAATTGCAATGTTTGGCCAACTTATTTTGCTATAAAGATGTTTCTATAACGTCTCCACAAAGCACCTGATATGCTTTTATCTTAAGCAGGAAAAAGCTGAACAATGAATGAAGGAGAATAAAACGTTCAACCTAAATTCCTCCTTACAGAAACTTGATTTTTTTTAAATGCAAGTCACTAAAAGTAGCAAAGTTTTTCCTGTTGTTGCTGAATCTTGGATGCTAAACAGCAGACGTTTAGTCACAAGTGATCAATTCTGTGCTGTCGTTGGTTTCCTGGAAAGACTACTAATCAGACATTTTAATCTGAGGTAGTTTATTTGCTGCTGTTGTTTTATGCAGCCGTAGGTCCAGCTGCTGTTGTCACATGACGGCCGATGATACAGGTGCTGGTCATAAAATTAGAATATCATGAAAAAGTAGATTGATTTCAGTAATTCCATTTAAAAAGTGAAACTTGTATATTATATTCATACATTACATACAAACTCATATATTTCAGATGTTTATTTTGTTTAATTTTGATGATTACAAATGACAACAAATGAAAATCTCAAATTCATCATATCAGAAAATTAGAATATTGTGAAAAGGTTCAAAATTGATGGCCCCTGGTGCCACACTCTAATCAGCTAATTAACTCAAACCACCTGCAAAAGCCTTTAAATGGTCTTTCAGTCTAGTTCTATAGGCTACACAATCATGGGGAAGACTGCTGACTTGACAGTTGTCCAAAAGACGACCATCGACACCTTGCACAAGGAGGGCAAGACACAAAAGGTCATCGCTAAAGAGGCTGGCTGTTCACAGAGCTCAGTGTCCAAGCACATTAATAGAGAGGCGAAGGGAAGGAAAAGATGTGGTCGAAAAAAGTGTACAAGCAAGAGAGATAACCGCACCCTGGAGAGGATTGTGAAACAAAACCCATTCAAAAATGTGGGGGAGATTCACAAAGAGTGGACTGCAGCTGGAGTGAGTGCTTCAAGAACCACCACACACAGACGTATGAAAGACATGGGTTTCTGCTGTCGCATTCCTTGTGTCAAGCCACTCTTGAACCACAGACAGCGTCAGAAGCGTCTTGCCTGGGCTAAAGAGAAACAGGACTGGACTGCTGGTGAGTGGTCCAAAGTCATGTTCTCTGATGAAAGTAAATTTTGCATTTCCTTTGGAAATCAAGGTCCCAGAGTCTGGAGGAAAAGAAGAGAGGCACTTCATCCACGTTGCTTGAAGTCCAGTGTAAAGTTTCCACAGTCAGTGATGGTTTGGGGTGCCATGTCATCTGCTGGTGTTGGTCCATTGTGTTTTCTGAGGTCCAGGGTCAACGCAGCCACATACCAGGAAGTTTTAGAGCACTTCATGCTTCCTGCAGCTGACCAACTTTTTGGAGATGCAGATTTCATTTTCCAACAGGACTTGGCACCTGCACACAGTGCCAAAGCTACCAGTACCTGGTTGAAGGACCATGGTATCCCTGTTCTTAATTGGCCAGCAAACTCTCCTGACCTTAACCCCATAGAAAATCTATGGGGTATTGTGAAGAAGAAGATGCAATACACCAGACCCGACAATTCAGAAGAGCTAAAAGCCACTATTAGAGCAACCTGGGCTATCATAACACCTGAGCAGTGCCACAGACTGATCGACTCCATGCCACGCCGCATTGCTGCAGTAATACAGGCCAAAGGAGGCCCAACTAAATACTGAGTGCTGTACATGCTCATACTTTTCATGTTCATACTTTTCAGTTGGCCAACATTTCTATAAATCCTTTGTTTTTATTGGTCTTCAGTAATATTCTAATTTTCTGATATGATGAATTTGAGATTTTCATTTGTTGTCATTTGTAATCATCAAAATTAAACAAAATAAACATCTGAAATATATGAGTTTGTATGTAATGTATGAATATAATATACAAGTTTCACTTTTTAAATGGAATTACTGAAATCAATCTACTTTTTCATGATATTCTAATTTTATGACCAGCACCTGTAATTTATGGAAATACTGGGACTATTCAAATGTGTTTTGACTGCAGTCACACAGTCAGGAAATGGCTGCTTTGGCCTGATAGTTGAAGAAGCTAAAGTGAAAAATGAGTCTCCAAAGAGCTGATTATACAAGAAATGTTGACATGTTTGATATTGATTTTTCTTTCTTTTTTTTTTTTTTTTATAAAATAAAAGATGTTTTTGAACAGGCTTTAAGGAGAAGCTAAGAGTAAAAAAAATGCAAACTGCCGTATTTCTTTCTCTAGACACGTTTCATCCCAGCAGTGCAAACTAAGCCTTTTCTGGCATGGAGGATTTACATTACTATTACTAATCATGTTTACTTACAAAAACACAACAAAAAAAGAAAAAAGACAGATAGCTTGTCTGTTTCCAGGGCAGCAGCAGGTATAATTGAAGCTTTAGTGTTTGTTATTGTCATTGTTGTTCTCTTTGTTTGTTTCTAGGAGGGTGTCTCTGACTCCTGTTGGATCTCGTTCTCCAGCTGTCAGCTTGATGTTCAGCAATACTTCATCTGCTCAGAAGGCCAAACACGGTTGGTGTCGCCACCTTTTTGTATTAAAACAATGGGGTTGTCTTCCTCCCACCTTAAAGCTTTGGGGATTTAATGCCATATTTTCAGTTTTCTCCTGGTGGATTTATAAACTTCTAAAGTCTGTAAACCCTCCTCATTATTGTCTTCAAGTAAAAGAAACAGAGGCTTGTTAGGACCCTATGAATGAACACAGATTAACTTTTTATTTGTCATCTAGTCAGAATGTTTCCAATTAACCCAAATCAATTTTTTGATCATTTTACCCCTTTAAAAATATGTAAAGCAAACAGACATTTCTATATAATCATTCAAGCTCTGTTTTAGTTATAGTTAGTCATAAATAGAACACATAAAAGAAGAAATGCTTTGCTACTTTCTCAGATAGGCGTATAATGGGCTTATTCTCAAGGTGAAGGCCTGTATTTATACTGCAAGAACTGAGATGTTTTTTTTTTACATAAGTAGTAAAATTAGAAATGTTTTTTATGCTCTTATTACTTCATATAGTTTCCACAGTAAAACTCTTATTTATATAGTTGTTTTTTTTATTAGTTAGAAACCACTGGACATACTGTAATAACATCCTACTATAAAGAAAGCCCTGTAAAGTGCAGTTCTCGTATTTACCTCTCACTTCAGACTATGTTGTGGCCACGCCCACATCATATTTCTGAACAACTACACAACAGTTTTCATGATTGGCAAATAAAGCAAAACTGTAAAAACTCTCACATCATAGCTTTCTTCACATTCCTGGAAAATGAAAAAGGTTTTGTTCTTCCTGCAGATTTTGCAGAGGCCTTAAGTCGCACCATGCTTGCACCTGCAGTACAAAATATACTGTCATTGTCCAGTTCATTGCGGGAGGCATCCCAGTTGGTCAGTCAGAAAGTGTGAGAGAAGTTAATTGAAGTCAAAACATAAGTCTTACTAAGGGGCCATTTACTTGCAACTACTATCATGTTTAGCCAATAGCAGCAGAATATGGCCTTTTAAACTTTTATGAGCAATACATATAAAAAAAAAAGACTGGGCAATTAACAGTTAAGTTTGTATTTTGTCAAATCTATCAAAAAATCCTAAGATGGACATCAAACCTTTATTTATTTAATGGTTAATGTAGATTTAAGCAAGAAATTGGTTGTCTTCAGCGTAATCAGTATGCTATAAAATGCTGAAATGTCTCAAAAACCTCTGGATACTAATCCTTCTCTGTTTCCTCAGAGCGACCTTCTCCTCCCTCTGATCCAGTGTGCCAACCTCCAGAATCCAAACGGCCCAAGACCGGTAACACCCCAGTAAGAAGCAGCGTCGCTAAAGATTAGCTGCCTGGAGCTGGAGGGAACGCATGAACCACAGGAGGGCCCACAAATGTATAAGAAGTCTTTGTGTCTCTACATGTATGACAGTCTGAATTTACTGTTTGCATCTTAAATGTTTTTATTTAGTTTTGTTTTTTCTTATTTTGTAATAAAGCTTTGAGGCTGTTTTATGGCAAATAAGTTTTGTATCTAGATAAATCTGAGCTGCATTGCTTGAAGAAGACAATGAGAGCACTTCATGGTTTTGTAGTAGTACAAATCTGTAACCTTGAGAAAACCAATGGAATGTTGGCCTAATGAGTTAAAATTGTCAAAATAATAAAAAAAAACTGTTGTTTGACTCAACTTGTCTCAATTGCATGCAGTGGATGTATGAAATGTTTTAGTATTTGTCATTAAAAAAAGGTGCTGAATAAACAACTGTACTTGTTTATCATTAAATCCTGGAGAAACCCTCTTTGAAAGAAGTTTGTTTTTGATGAGGTTAAGGTGTAAAGAGTATAATAACATTCATATAAATCAGTCCAGCAAAAATATATATTGTCAAACTTTAAATTGATAACACAGATTGTGATAAAAAATTTAAATTTTGACTGCTTTCTACCTCAATATTTTTAATGTTGAGTTACTGAGTTTTAATTAGTATTCCTGTCAACTCAAGTTAAAATTATTAATAATTGATCGTTTATTAACTCATTACAACCTTTGAAGGGAGCTTTTTTAGAATTGCTTCATATGGAAATAACAAAAAGGCTTGGAGGATGAGGATTTCCCATAGCTAACCCTTGTGAAAAATTTAAAGCAGGTATATAATGCACCTGGGAGATTGGCTCGTAAACTATTAACCAATGGTGGGTATATACTTTTAAATTTGAGTGAATAGATACAAATTAAGTTTAACAACTTTGTGCTATAAACCTTCCTTTATATGCTTTTTGTTCTTCCAAACACTTTGAACAAACTGTTCGCTTAACAGCTTTGAATATTTACAGGTGTGCGAAAGGTTTAATGCTATACAAATTGTCAGAAAACTAATTTAATTTGATAAAAGCTGCTTTGTAGCCAAGGCAGACAGGTTTTGCATAGGGTCAACCTATTCAGGGTGGCAGGAATATCGATTCCCACTTTGAAAACAAGAGGGTTTTTAACGCTTTTTATGCTTTTATCTTATGTAATTTTACCTGTCACATTAAAAACAGAAAGATTTCTATAAAACCATAACTATTTTTTTTTTTTTAGATTGTTGGCATATTTCTGTTTGGTCCAAAATGGATATTTTCTCCACGGTTTAAAACAGGTTCCACAGTAAATCTTGGAGTGTTTCAAAGGCGATTATATCATAGCTCCACCTTCTGAAAGCCAGAATAGAGGAAAAGTGTCGACACAGGACATCAGAGCTCTCTTGGTCAAAATGAGATTTACAAAGAATGCAGAGCATTTAAGAAACAATCTCAGATAATTAAAACTGACCTGAGCAGGGAGCCTTGAGGAACACAATTGGAAAGTAGGAAAATGAAGACATGTATTTTATATGGTAGTTCTTAAATTAATTCAGCTATTTTTTTTTAAACCTTAAAGGCTGACTGAAAACGTTACTAGATCTAATATAGAAAAAGCTAAATTTTGTATCTCAGGCTGAAACCTGGATCTTTGAAAACAAAGGAGCAGAACTGGTAACATCGACATCTAATGCTAAGCTATAATTGAGCTGCGATGGAGGTTTACGTCAATTAGGCTTGAATTATAGAGTTTAGGTATCTATTCTTGGGGCATATATTGACAAATTTTGACATAATCCAGCCTTGCATCACGATGAAGAACACACATATGATGGGAAGGTGATCCGTTGGTTCTTTATCTTTCATCGTAGAGTTCAGGGGGCGAAAGTAGAAACTTCCAGTTCTGATCAAATCATCACCAATCTAGGTTCTCAAAGCTTTATGTTATCCCTGTTTGCTATATTCTGCTGCTATGACAACTAATTGCTGATTTTTTTACATAGCTCATTGTGTCTCAACACAATGTATTACATGCTGACTTGGTGGCAGCATGGAAGAGAACAGAATAAAGAAACAGGGATAACTTCACAAGGTAAAAAAAACCTTGTTGCCAATCAGAAGCATCCAGTCATTACTGCTTTTTCTTAAATGTGCTGATGCACAAGTTTTTCTTTTCTTTCATAGTTATTTTTAAGTTTGAAATGGTAAAACTTTCCCATTTATATTCAGATCCTATTTATTAATTGATTATTGAATTGGTTAACCCTGGAGAATAATGAATTAGTATGCTCCAAAGCCATGTCATTTGTGTTTAAGGCTTGTATTTAAATGGCCACTGTCATACATTCACCCACGCTACAACACTTCCATATTGGCAGGGTAGGGTTTCTATTCTATTCATCCTCACAGAATTATTCCTTCTTAGATTTAATGTCAGCAAATCAAAGGAGATGGTGATCTCCTTTTCCAGCAGAGGGAGGGATCGAGCAGCGGCTGCTGCCATTGTGTGTTCTGCAGCTATGCAGACCTATGTAGCCACTAGCTGCAACAGCAATTCTCATCTATCATTGAGGGAATCCTGTTAAAAGCACCACCAGAGGATGTACACTGCATTCCCAAAAATATTTGCTCACCCATCCAAATGAATTGAATCAGGTGTCCCAAATACTTCCACAGCCACAGGTATTTAAAATCAACAACCCAGGCATATAAACTGTTGTTACAAACATTTGTGAAAGAAAGGGTCATTCTCAGGAGCCCAGTGAGTTCCAGCACAGAGCTATGATAGAATGTGACCTGAGGAACAGGTATAGTCATGAAATTCCCTCACTCCTAAATAGATTAACTGTCAGCTGTATCATATGAAAATGGAAGTTTTTAGAAACAGCAACCCAGTAAACCAGCGGTCACCAACCTTTTTTGCACCACGGACCGGTTATATGTCAGACAATATTTTCACGGACCGGCCTTTAAAGTGTGGTGGGGTAAATACGGTCAAGTAAAATGATACGACTGGCATAAAATCAAATACAAACAGCATAAAAATAAAACTCACCATTAAGTTGAATTAGTGGGAGCCTTGAGTTTGTTTCTCTGAAACAAGCCGGTTCCATCTAGGCGTAATCAGAGACAATGACACACAAAGTGTGCTCCTAATGTCAAGTCTGCTCTGTAGCTTTGTTTTGTTTGCTTTAACCGCAGAAAATCCCGCTTCACAAAGATAGGATGTTATATATAGGATGCGTCTTGACCTGAATTAACCTGTGTCAAGAGGCACAGATGCACTGACTGATGTAATTGGGAGAGAATACCGGATTTTTTAATATTTTTTAAAATAAAACGTCACTCAGACTCTGATCGTTGATAAATTATATATATATATTTTTTTTCTGTGTGGCCCGGTACCAAATGACTGATGGACCGGTACCGGTTGGGGACCGATGCAGTAAACTAATGGAGCAGGGTCAGTGGATCCTAATGAGAAGATGTCAACAACATGCTGCAGAGACCATCTCTACACCCCTCCACACTAATGTAGCCTTAAAAACAGAGCTTCATGGAATGGGTTTCCATGATTGAGCAGCTGTATCCCTCACCAAGTGTAATGCAATGCGCCAGATGCAGTCATGTAACAAGCATGCTGCCACTGGGCCCCAGAGCAGTGGAAACATATTCTCTGGAAGGATGAATCAATCTTCTCCACCTGAAAATATAATGGTTGAGTCTGGGTTTGGCAGTCCCCAGGAGAATGGTTTTCTTCTGACTGAATTATGCCAAGTGTAAAGTTTGGTGGAGGGAGGATTATGGTGTGGGGTAATGTTTCTGGAGCTGGGTTTGAAGGTGAAAGGAAATGACTGCCTACCAAGACATTTTTCCCACCTTTGTAGGAACAGTTTGGAGCTTGCTCCGTCCTCATCTAATCTGACTGTGAACCAGTGCACAAGGCAAGGTCCATTAAGACCTGGATGGCAAGATCTGATGTGAGTCTGGTGTGGACAAACTTGAGTCCTGACCTCCAGCTGATAGAAGACCTTTGGGATGATTTAGCCCGGAAACTGAGAGCCAGGCCTTCTCATCCAACATCAGTGTTTGACCTCACAATTGTGCTTGTGAAAGAATTATCAAAGATTCCTATAAACACACTCTTACCCTTGTAGACAGCCTCCCCAGAAGAGATGAAGCTTTTCTAGCAGCAAGGGGTGGACTGACATCACACTGAACCCTAGATTGGACTTTAAGCTTATATGTGAGTCAAGGAAGGTGAGTGAATACTTTTAGCAATATTGTGCATCTTAGAAAACATCGAATTTTCCATCAGCAATATTCTTTTACAGAAATTATATTATTATTAATTGAAAGTGTTTTATCCTTCGGCATATGTTGTTGGTACAGCTCTAAGATATTACAGAATAGGATCAAACTTCCTCATATTGTCGGTGTGTTCATTGGTCTTCCTGTTTGGGACCAGGTTATTGTTTATGAGCAGCAGGACAGGCCAGGCAAGCTCACAGACCAATAGGTAAGGACCATTACAGTGGTTGCAGTCTAATGAAGAGGTGCTTTTTTTTGATGAACTTTGAATGTTAAACGTACAAAAACACTGCATCTTTAAAAGATTCACAGTGCTGCACATCTAACACATTTATTTATGTTACACTTTATTCCAAATGTCATTCATATCTCTTTAATTTAATTTCTAATTGGCCCTTTATTATGACAAAGTTGAAAATGTTTTTTTTTTTTTTGTTGTTGCAAATTAATCAGAAATAGAAAAATAAGAAATCCCTTGTATTTAAGTATTTAAAGCCTTTTTATGCCATGAAGCTCAAAGGAAGCAGAGGTACAGACTGTTTCCCCTGGTTAATCCTTGAGATGCTTCTGCGAATTACATGTAGTCCAAGTGTGCTGAATTCAAATTCAGGAGACTGAACATGATTAGGATCATTAGCATTAAGCCTGTAGACCTCTAAAACAGGAATATCCTAATGCACAAAGCTGAGGAAGAGTCCCAAAACATTTCTGCTGTATTCAAGCTCCCAGAGAACACAGTGGTCTCCATCATTCATAAGAAGAAGAAGTTTGGAACCACTCGGGCTCTTCCTAAAGCTGCTGGGCTGCAAATTAGGCCTGTATGGTATAGTGGTATAGTGGCCAAATAAAGGTGCTTCTTTAAAAAAGAAAAGAGAAAGAAAGGCATGTAGGAGCCCTTCTAGAGGGGATCAGAAGGACTGTCAGACCATGAGAAACTTAATTTTCTGGTCTGACTGGACAAAAATTGAGCTGTTTGGAGTGAGGTCCAGGTGTTATAGTGGGAGGAAATCAGGCAGCACTCATCACTAAGTCAATACTTTCCCCATAGTGAAGCATGGTGGTGGCAGCATCATGCTATAAAGATTTCTGTTTTTGCTTTTGCAGTAGGGACTTGCAGAATAGCTGAACCGTAAAAAAAAAAAACATAAAAAACAAAAACTGTAAAAATTGAGTTAATTTATTTTTGAGTTTTTGCAGCACTAGTGGCTCATTTTACAGTAGGCTGACATGAAGGGGGTATGAAAGAATGGGAGAGACATGTGGCAAAGGACCACAGGCTGGATACGAACCCGGGTCAGAGAAATAAGGCCTCCATACATGAGTCGTGTACAATAACCACCTGCACACCCAAAAATGAAATAAATTTAAAAGAGAGACCCTAACTTCCATCAAGTCGACGCGTATTCAGGTTGTTATAGGTCACAGATGTGTCTCTGCTTCTGCTGTGTTCTCAACGTGAAGTACATCTGTACCCGCTGTGGGTATTTTTTCACTTCAGTCACTGGCTGTGGTCAGAGGCGTTGGTAAAACCTTCAAACCCAAGCAGCTAAACCCAACACTGAAACAGTTTGAATTTAAAGTGAAAGCAGCATCATTTGTAATTCATTTAATTTTATGGTACATAATGCAACAGTTCTCCGCTTGGGGTGACAAACATCTGCAGTCGATCTAAGAACAAACAAATATCTTTGGAGATCGAAATAATTTGAGAGATAATTGGCAGCAGGTTTAGGGTTATCTGTATGTTTTAGGTATGACACAGGTAATATTAGATGGGATAAAATATGCGTCAAATGTCATTGCTTCCCTCAGCAGTGCTGCAAAGGCTACAGCGATGCATGGTTTCAGGGACCTGTTAAAGGTCAAAGTTTAGGTTGTTGTTAAACTGTGGGAAACTATATCCTGTTTTTTTTTTTTTTTTTTTTTTTTTTTACCAGAACAAGCAATTATTCTTTGCATGGTATAAAATAAATGGTCAGGAAGAGAATGATAAGAGGAAGTCCAAAAGACAAACTTCTCAGTAAGAACACTTGCTCTAAAAAAAAAAAAACAGAATAGTTTGTTAGTTTTGGATGGTTGAATGAAAAGTAAGGGTTTCCTTTATGTTCTTTTTTTCATATTTTCTTACCAGCCTTTTTCATATATTCTTACAATTAATGAAAAACAAAAGCTAAAGGAAATATCCCAAATCAATTTTGTAGAGGAAGCCCTGCTTTTTCTAGATAAAAAATATATTTTAAAATATTGTCTTGTAAAAAAATTACATAGATTTCTGTCATGTTTATGGAAATGTCCAGTAACGATAAAACAGACCATTCCTATAATACTACTCTATTCTTTGTTGCATGGACAACATTAGAAGAATTAGTGACTTTACAGTGGATTTCTCACAACATTCAAGCAGGAGTCACTCGTATAATATGAACTCCCAGCTGATTTTTTTTTCTAGATCATGAAAATAAAGTCCTTGTTGCATTGAGCTGTGACACTTTGGAAAGACTAACAGCCCTGTTTGTGTCTCCTCTCCTGAGGTGAAGAAAATACTGCAGTTGTTAGCACATGCAGTGATAGTTTTTGCGTAGTAGGCTTCTGTTTTAAGAAAAATCAAGAACCTTCAATGTATTGGGCTCTGTTTGTGTTCAAGGAACACCATGCAAGTTTATAATAGCTTAGAATTTCTTCACTTCTTTCTCCTCTAAATTCAGACCTGTTAAGGTAGCCAAACATCCGAAACTGTAAAAAATATACATATATTCTGAACTAATGATGAAAACCTTTCTGTGTCAGTAGAAATGCTCTATCAGGAACTCTTCAGGGGGCAAAGTGTTTGCTTCCACTGCTTCAAATTCTGCACAAAAAAAAAAAAAAAAACTCCGATAAAGATAATTTTTCTATCTAATTATGAATGGGAAAAAGTTTTTTTTTAAATCAATCTAAGTTTCAGACCTGATCAACGGATCATAGTACCAACACTGATGTGTTCAATGTGAGCAAAAAAGGGAAGAGTTGATGGGAAGATTAAATACAATGAATACAGGAAGAAAAATCCCTTTCATAGGAAGGGACATGCCTTTGTCTGTGTCTAATTATAATGTTTATCTGTTCTTAATTTAGAAATCGGATTTGCAGTATTTTTTGTTATTTTGTTGTAGTGGTGTCGTTAAAGTTAGGGGCTGTCTCCCATGACGGCTTTCTTTTCCTTTACTTTTATCTACAACACTGTCAGCGACTCTGGAACAACTCTGTTCACCCAGAGATAGGACACCGTTACCCTATAAGAGGGCTTGCATTTAGACACTTACCACAGTGGTCTAATAAATAGGACAAAAACAAAGGGTCAGTCCTCAATAAGAGCTTATAATTACATTTTAAAGTAGTGTAATGTATGCTTTATATCCACCATCATCATAACTTTAGATGCAAAGTCACAGATAGGTACACAGTCCTGTACTAGAGAATAAACTTTATCACACCTTCTACTGACTACTGCTATGCACTACATGCAGGTGGTATCTTAGAGCTCCCTTTTGCTAATCCATGTGTGCAAAAGAGTGCTTGTCATCTTTTAAAGAAACAGGTTGAACTTACAATACTCACTTCTTTTGAATGGTTTCCTTTCCAAAGCAGCATTAAGTTTAGTTCCCCCTGTTGGATTACGTATGCCTAAATAATCTTGATCGCCACACTTCTCTGTGAAGCTGGTGTTTTTGTTTTAGGTCACATCGATGAGCTGACCGGCTGCATTTGCCTCTTTATACCAGACTCTTTAAACTGTGGATACATTTTCAATCGTTTGGTATTTTCATGTCTTGTTTTAAGTCTGTTATAAAATGTCATAAAATCAATTTATTGCAAGATAACATTTTGACCATGTTTTTTTTTCCATTGCTTTATATGCTTTGAATCTTTTTTTGTTGTGGGATCAGCATATTCACAAGTTAGTGTAGTGGCCTCAATTCTGGTCCTTGAGGTCCAGGGTCCTGCGCCTTTCAGATGGTTCTCTAATTTAACCTTTAAAAAGACAAAAACTAAAACTAAAATATAATTCGAATTTGACTACGTTTGAGAGTTTAGTAAGACAACAGATCAAAAATGTCAAACAAAAGGGTGATAGGGGAAGTTGAATACAAATGCTTGTCAATTGTTTTAAAAGTCTTTTGTTGTTAAAAAAGCTTGATTTTAAAATGATGTACTATATTTTCTAGTCTATTGCATAAAACAAAAACAAAAAAATATAATTAATTTTGATATTGGCATCTATGGTATTACAAATATTGCATATGCTTCTTATTATTTAAGATTATCAATTGTACTCCAATGTTTCTGCTTTCAAGACTAAAGCCTTGGGTTTCTTTGACAATATTTAGAGGTGATTTCTAACAAAATAAGCGTCTTATTATAATGTTCAGACTTACATAACATTTTAATATGTTTATTCAACAGTGCGAGTCTTTGTCAAATATCTTTGCGTTTCATTTTTAAACATTAAACGCATGACATGTTATATGAATTCATATATGCTGTATTTTTGATCAGAATATAACGTTGAACCTGACTTATCAGCAAGTGAAACAAATAAATACTTATAAATTTGCATCGTGACTGAACAACCTACCTTGCTGTCAAAACACAGCGAGATAAATTGATTGACACCTCTCTTATCCAATCAGATTTCGCGTAGTGGAGGATCTTTAAAGCTTCTACTAATGGTCTTTGTGTGAAGGCGGGGAGCAGTTGGCTCGGATAGTCTGCTGATTAGCAACAAACAGAAGGTTACGAGTTAGAAAATTTTTGATAATTTTCCAGCCAGAGCGCCTCCGCGGCTACAGGAGCAGGGTTAACTATGCCGGGGGCCTAACCGGAGCTTGTTAGGTGGCTTTTGGGAGCAAAAGGCGGGCATTTGTGAAATTTCGTAGGCTTTCGCGGCGAGAAGGGTGAGAGAGAGGGTCCGCCTCGCTTTGAGATCGTTTCAAGCGGCGATGCTTTAGCTGATAGCTGCGTCATCATGTTGCTTCCGAGTCGAGTTGGCGAGAAGAAATCCCAAGTTAACGCCGGGAGGTGAGGCTGCCCGCCGACATCCAGCCCCGGAGGCCACTCCCGACAGTTGAAGTGCGTGGAAGACGAGCTGCCGGGTGGGAGACTGGCAGCCAAGCCTGCTTACTTTACGTGCTTGTCAGGACTTACTTTACATCACTGTAGTTTGCGGGAAACCCCAACTTTAACATTATTTATTGAACCCACTCTAATGTTTAAACCTAACGGGTTTTAATGAGCGTTTTTGTTTTTTTTACTGGAAAGTAGCTTAGAAAGAAAGAAAGTGGAAGTGTGACTACTGAGGGGACAACATGTATGCCACAACTGTTAGGATAGTGGGAAGTGATGCTCTCATTGACAGCTAGAACACAAACAGGAGCGGCCAGCCTCAGATCTTTATTATCTGGACTCTGTTAACTCCCACTGATCGATCTGAACTTATTTATTTTAGATCAAGACGGATTGATCTGTTTCTGTTATCACATCAACGCGGACTTTGTCTCAGGTCAGCTGGGAAGGTTTCTGAACAGAAGATCTGGTTAAAAATGGACGCAGGGCGCAGTTATGCGTCCAAGAAGGGGATGGAGTCTGCGGGGAGCAGGTCCTCTAACTTTGAGGTGATTGACGGGTTGCTCTACCGCAAGAAGTTTGAAAAGGGCTTCATCCACTACCGGGAGGTTCTGGGGGAGGACAGGAGGCAGGAGGCCATCTCCACCTTCCACAGGAGGAGACCTGGCCAGCGCCACCTCTCCCTGGAAGAGACCTATAAATGCGTGGCTGAGAACTACTGGTGGGAAGGTATGAACACCTGAGCAACTTTACAACGATGTTTCCCTTTAACTTTTTACCAAGAACAAACAATAGTTTTATTTAAGTGTTAATAAATGATAAAATAAATGAACCCTTCAGAGTTCTGCAGCCTATTCACCCTGGCTTTGAATAAAATCTTATAAAAGTTATAGGACTTTTCTGAAGTTAAATGTAGATTTTAACTATTTCTCCTGATCTTTGAATTTTTATGCTTTGAAATTTTATTGCTACACTATTTTTAGGGCAATCTAACTTTTCTTTTTATTTATTATTATTATTTTTACCTTCCTAGAGCAGAGGTGTCATAACTGCAGCTCTGGAGCCACGTGTGGCCCTTTAAGGGCCACCGTAGTGACGCTTTACAACTTTCACACCCACCCCAAAAAATAATAAAATACATAAAAATCCAATTGAGCAATTTCGTTAGATTGAAAGCAAACAAAAATCAAATTTCTTTCAAGTTTTTTTTTTTCTGTTTGTATGGTTTCTGCAGCAGGACTAAAGAAAGCACTACTACCAAATTATTCATCAGGCCACACTTCTTTTTTTTTGTTTCCATAAATATAGCTTAAGAAGGTAATTATGTTTTTTTTCGATTTCTTAAAAAAAGAAGTATAAATACCATTGCTGTTTCTTCTTTTAATGACAATAACAATATTTCCATCATGGTTATTTAGAGCACACTGACAGATTTAGCTGTTTTTTCAAAGGTCTGCTGTTGCTCTGGACTAAATTCATTTGGAAAAAAACAGGAGGCAGAAATGGCTCTATGGATAGGAGAGAGAAGTAAACACCTGTGAAGTGAAAGCAAGCTGATGCATTGTTATTGAATTTATTCAACGCTTAAACTACCTTTCACTGCAGTCACCGTGGTGGTCTTTAGAGGAATCTCTGTAAAATTTCAGCTCTTTTTTGTATTTATTTATTTCTCCCACAAACTCTCAGTATGGTCTAATAATAAAGCAATTTAATTTTGCCACAATTTTTATTTTGAAGCTTTAAAAGTTATATGGTAATGATAATAACCACCTTTATTTGTGATTGTACAAAAACTGGTCTCTGTCTGGATGAAGGTTTAAACCAACCTAACCCTGAATGTAAATGCATTGTTGTAGTGAACTCTCTATATATTCTGGTTAAAGGTTTAAGGTTGCTTTGCTAAAAGGGGAGTTATTCCCATTCTTAATTATTTTTCATTCAGCTCATCCATCCAGTTGGATGATGATAATCACTGTTGGTTTTCAGCTGGACTTAGGGTTGTGCATGGAGGTAAAAACAGATTTATTCTCATTTGTTCTCAGCATTTTCTTCCACATCTTTCCTGAGTTACTTTAAAAATGTGCACCAACTTGGAAGGGGGATTCTTAAGGTCTCTTCTTTTCCCATTAAGGCCAGATTTTTGAAGTGGGCAGATAATAATCGACCTGTATATAAAATGTCCTACCTGTGCAGCAGATCTGTGCAGCTCCTCCAGAGTTACCATAAAACTTTTTGATTGCCTCTCTGAGTGTCACTCGTCCCAACTTCAGTTTAAGAGGACAGCCATGTGTTTGTATGTCTACCTACACAACAAAAAATGCCCATCATGAATCAATCATCATATTGAATTGAATAGAATAGAAAATCCCCTTATTGTAACACAATGGTTAAATCCTGGTGTTTTCAGCAGCAAAATGATTATAGAAAAAATGGTCACACAAATGTGGACCTTAGGAAAATGTATGTAATAACATACTAGTGAAGAGTTAAAATATAATCAATAAAATCCTGTACTGTAAAGTGTTTTTAACAATATAAAACTGTGCACCTGTAGAATAAATAACCAATATACAACTATAGACATTTTTAAAGTAATGGATATTTGAAAATAACAGCAACATCAGAGATGTGCAAAATGACAGCAAGTTATATCAATTGATTCATACAACTATAGATTAATTAAAAAAAAGACATTTTCTATTAACTTCCATTACTTTATTAATGTGTTGTTGAGTGTTAGCATGATGCTACTGCCAATGTGTTACAAAACTGCTCAGTCATATAATTCAGGAAAAGTTAAGAAATGTTTTGATGCCAGGAATCCAATATGAGATGGAAAAGAATCTGTTCTAAATCTTCAAAATCAGAATTGAATCGATCCTATAAATCTGAATTGATACCTTCCCTGCTGTTAAAGCCTGCTGGGACGCTTTATTCAGAGCCACACGTGCAAATTCTTCATACCTACAGTGAATCTCACCTTTTCCTGCTCTCAGCTCATTGATGCTAAAGTGCTATACCTTATGAAAAGGGGTGGGAAACATTTGTAGAGGAAAACAGTGGGTACATCAGGAGCTGTTTTCATGATGCTGTGTGTCTCCTGATGTTTTCAAATAAACCTCTGTATCCTTTACACAACAGCTGTCATTGAATTGGGATTTCAAAAGTTGTCACCCCTTAAAGGGTGTGAATATTTAACTATGTGGTTTTAAGTGAGCTGCTTAAACTTTTCTCTCTGTTTTGGACTCAAATCGCCTTATTCTGCAGAGCAGAAGGATTGTTTTTCCTCCTATAGAGGTTATTTAATCTAGAAATAGAAAAATATAAGTTTTTATTCTATACTTAATGTGTTCGTGGCAGTAAACTATAACGTTTTCTCCAGTTTTTTTTTTTTTGTTCGTTGGGGGAAAAGTTACATTTTTTTAAATCTCAGCTGATTGTCTAATCTTATTTATGTTTATTTTATGAGAGGAGTTGTTGTAAAAACACCTTTATGCTTGCAGATTTTCTTTCTATTTGTCCTATTTTTCTTTGTGCTAAAATGTATTCTTGTCTTTTTTTTTTTTTACCTACCCACAGGAATGTACTTTCAGATCAGAGACTTTGTCCTTCACTGTCCACAATGCAAGAGTCTGCACAGTAAAACATTGGCGGTAAGTGGAGGACATTTTAATATTTCTCCTTTTCACTTATGTACAGCTGTGTAATTTCAAATTTTTCTTTCATTGGTTTCCTTTCACACCTCTCTTCATCAATCTCATTGATTTCTTTCTACCATGACGACTTCTTTACCTTATTAATTTATGTCCCGCTGCCTTTGGCTCGCAGGGGTTTGATGGAAGGAGATGCGTCTCCAAGACGGTCCCATCACATGGCGCCGACTTGCTCAGCAAGCTGAGGAGTCAGAGGGAGGCGGGGCTGTTCTGTGACATCACCCTGCGAACGAACGGCGGATCCTTCTCGGCTCACCGAGCCGTCCTGGCGGCTGTCAGCGATCACTTTCACGAAGTTTTGGCTGAAATGGACTCGAGCAAGATGGCAGACATAGATCTCTCTGGTGGGTCCTTAAAATGTCCATGATCTTCAGAATGATAGCATCACGGTTCTACGATTCACTATGACACAGTTTTAATGTGTAGAATAGAAATATTAAAGTTGCATCAGTGGGAAGAATGCTTTTTTTATATAATTAAAGGAAGACACTCTTCATCCAGATTATAGCAGACTAAGGTTTTAGTCACTTGATGCACAAATCTAGTGGAGACAAGCAGCCAAAGACTGGAGCAGAGGCTGCAGACAAATATCTTTGTGACTTGTCCACAAAAAAAAATGGAGGTCATTTATCATAATGACTTTAATGATTTCTTTTTATATCACAAAAAGCTAAATCAAAATATGTTAAAAGTTGTGCTTGCAACAAGAATGGACAGTTAATCAGGAAGGACTTTGAAAGATCCTGTTTGTGACAATTTGCCGTCGACCTTGTTGAACAAAAGCTAGGAAACAACTTCACACAGAAAAAAAGTTCAATTCTTCTTTAGACACTTTGTTTCTGAATCTTTCTGAATCATTTTCTCACTGAAATAAAAACCTGAACAGAAAAGAAAAAAAGGGATGTGGACATATTTTAACAGTCCTAACTTTTGTTTATATTAATTAATTAATTAATCAGAGACCCTAACAAGCTTAGCGTTTAAGTCTTAATTTAGGTTAATTTAGGTAAAAAGAGGGTTTAGTCTGGTTTTGTCAGTTTGAGATGTAGACTGACTGACTCCTTATCTTGGTATGCAGCCATAGTTAGATGTAACAGACGTTTCTTTTATCTAGAAGCTTCCTAATGTTTTTGTAGTGGACAACACAGCTGTCCTTCCTGTCTAACGTTAGCTTTTATCACCCCAGGTTTCAGCGAGGACAGTCTTTTGTCTCTGCTGGACTTCTCCTACTCCTCCACCCTGCGTGTTCATCAGGAGAACCTACCGGAGGTCTGTGCGATGGCCCGTCACCTGGGCATGTGGCCTGCAGTGGAAGCCTGTGCGGCTCTCCTCAAAGAGCAGGAGCAGCAGCTCCATCTTCCTGGAAAGGCCTTCAGCTCAGCTCGCTCTAACTCATTCAGTCAGAGCCCCCATCAGCAAAGGGAAGGGCTTTTAAAACTAGAGAACATGAATGAAGGCTTTAGTCTGGTACTAGAGACGTCCGATGAGTCTTTGTCAGAAAGTCCAAAGCGCAACCTGCGCAGAACGCCAAAACCTCAGGCTGAGAACGGCCTCCCTCTGAGTCCCTCACACAGGATGAAGCTCATGGACTTTAAATCTCCCTCTTCCAAAAAAGCCAGCACACCGCGCCATGGCATCGGCGCCTCTCGGTCCCAGAGTTACTCCCCCGTATCGGTGTCAACCCCCCGTCTCCTCCGCTCCTCTCCTGGAGCCGCCAAAGAAGTTCAGAGGTTCCTGCCGAAGCCAGAGATGCCTCAGAAGAACCGAAAATCTTACTCTATGTCATCCAGGTCGCGGCAGGGCACCTCCTGCAGCCCGGTGAGGGTAAAACAGGAAGCCGAGGAGGTGGGAGAAGACGAGGAGGATTATGCAAGAGCGCAGGAGAAGTACAAGCTCATGAACGTCCTCGGGCTCCAGAGGACCGCTCTCCTGCCCCGACCAGAAGATCTCATCGGCTGGAGGCAAAAGAAACGACTTCGGAAGTTAAAGGCCAACAACTATTCCCTGACTAAGCGGCGGGAACCACGACCTTCACCCCCCAGAACCTCATATGAGGACGTGAAGCTGTCGCTTCCTCTCTGCAACCCTGTCAACACGCAACTCCTCAAAAAGTCAGTCAAGTCCAAAGGTTTGGGCTCCATCCAAAAGATTTCAGCTAAGAGGATGCAAAGTCTCCAGCAGCTGATCCCTCCTACTGACAGGAGCATGAGAAGTAAAGGGGTCCTACCGGACCTGTTCCAGTGGACCTCAGTGCCGGTGTTTGGTGGGAGGGAGCTCAGGCGGTCTGTGAGGAAGGGGGATGCTGCCCAGCAGCCTCTGCATTACAGAAAGAAGAAAAGCTTAGCAAGAAACGTGGTTAAAGTTAAAGCAGAAACGACTGAATGCTCCATCTCAGGTCTCAGGCACTCATCACAAAGTGGACACACGTCTCCAAGCCCCCTGCCCTCGCAGAGGACGCAGACCAGACAGAAGGTCGCCGCAGATGCGGTGAAATCGCTGCGGTACAACAGCAGCCGACCGGCAGCCAAAGCCAAGCTGAAACGGGCCTCCATGAAAGAGGGGGGTGGGGCCAAGGGCAAGGTCAGAGAGGAAGCAAGACCCAAAGGGAAGGTTTCTGAACCCAACGGCCTTCCAGAACACCCCCCTCAACCTTCTCTTTATAGCCACCCCCTCTACAAGGCTATTAAAGAAGAACCAGCCGAACCGGTGCCGGTTGGACCTTTCCCCGATCCTCCCTCTCCAGACCTGGGCAAGCGGCAGAGCAAACCCCCCATCAAGCTGCTGGACTCAGGCTTCCTGTTCAGCTTCTGTCGGCCGGTGGGGGGGTCCGGGACAGGTGTGAAGAAGGAGGAGGAGAGTGTAGCTATCTGTCTCACCCGATCCGTGTCTCAGGTTCCAGCAAAATTCGAGGCAGAAGGAAGGGCGCTGAGGGCCCGGGGCCCCACCGGCCTGTGCCTGGGGAGGAGGGAGGAGAGGAGAGCTGGACACGGACGACTTCTGAGGCACAGACCGAAGTCCAAAGAAACCGGAACCCATCTGGACAAATGTGCTGGGTCCATAACACCTAAGAAGACGGCAAAGGTAAACAGTAGTAACCATGATTAGAAGAACAATCCAGAATGTGGATTTTCTGATCCACTCAGGCTCCAAATCTTCCCATACACCCACTAACCATAGTCCTGAAGGTTGGTTTTGATTCTGCTGCAGCAATCAGGGAACAGATATAGAGAAATACTATGGAAGATCAGTGATTGTTTGGAAAAGTAATTTGATCTGTGAATTATTAAATTATGTGTTGCTGCATCTACATTTAAAGTTTTCTAAAGCATTTTCTTTGCATGTAGAAACAAAATAAAGTCCTCGCCCTGAGCAGCAGCAGCAGGAGCTGTGCCATGATGGACCCGGTACATCGAGCCCGGCTCAAGCAGCTTCGAGGGCCTCGGAGTCAAGCCCCCAAAGTCCCAAAGGCGTCCCACGCCTGCCTGCAGTGTCCAGCCGCCTACAAGGACTGCAACGCTCTAATTATGCATCAGCTGAGGCACATTGAAGGAAAGCACTGGCCCTGTCCGGTAAGAACCAGCCTCCTTCACGTTAACCACCACACCTTACCGACTGCTTCAGATGAAAAGATGTGAGGGAGCTTAGCAGTTTTACTACCAACATTTAGAAAATATACTCTAAATAGTTTTGCTCAGCTGTTTTTTGTTTACAAAGAAAAAAGAAGAAAACAGAGTTAATCTTGCTGTCATTTTAATGTTATGTCGCTGCTGCTATTAGGTTGGGAAAAAAATCCTGCTAAAGTAAATCAAACATAAAGGCAGCAGAGAACTAAAACCGCCAAAAGGTTGTAAACGATGGCGAGTTCACACGGACTCCAAAGCTGCCTAAACTTTGCCAGATTCGTCTGCTTTCGCTCGCTTTGATATTAGCCTCTGCCATGCGGAAGCATTTTGCACTGCAGGAGAATTCGAAAGCCTCCTTCGTCATAAGATCTACTGGTCGTTGGTTTCACCTCTTCATGGTGCACATGGATTTACAAAGTGACTTGCAGTGTTTTTTACTTTAGAAAGCGAAAAAAGCTGCAGGTCAGATTAAGTCCACTGGGAAGACGGAACACTGAGGGCGGGTTACAGACCAGAACTGCCCTGCAGTAGGACAGTGGTACATCCAGGAAGCCAGCCTGGGAGTCAAAGCAAGGAGAGGCTACGTCTGGCTGGAGCTAGCCTCTAGGCTAACTATGAGAAATGAAAGAAGGACTGGGGAGGATCAGCGATTTAATCCATCCTGGATTAAATTAAAACAGCTTTTTTAAAAAGCAACCTTAAATCATTTTAAGAGCATTGCTGCTTCATCCTTTAGATTATTTTCTCTATCTTCCATTTTTAATTTAAAAAAAACTTGTCTTCGCCATGCTGACAGCCACATCTAGTTCCTCACTGGATTTCGTAACGCGAACATAGACAGAGCTCAGAACTTTTAACGTTGTGCATAGGCAGGGCAGCGATCAAATGTCGCCGACTTTTTCTAAATCGTGCCGCTCACCTCCGCATATCCACCACCGTAAGTCACTCTGCTTTGCTTCGCTCCACATCTGCACTTCTACACGGAGATAACAGGGGAATCCCTCACTCTAGCTGAGAAATTCACGTTAAGTGTGAACGTACATCATACACTCCACTGACAATATATTAGTTTTATCCTGTGTAAAATAATCACTGTTTTCACATAAATCTACAACATGGAATACAAACAAGGTTTTACACTTTATAGTTTCTATTAGATGGAAAATGTCTCCAGCAAGGCAACGAATCAGTGACATGCAGCTCTTAGTGTTTAGATATTTCCAAATAATTTAATTAAATACAGTAATAATTTATTAATCCCTGAAGGGAATTTTAGTTTTAAAAACACTGAGGACGACAGATGTAAATTAGCAACTATGCTATAATCTGGCTCCTTTACAATCTGTACAGAAGTATAAGATTGTTCATTAATGTGCTCTGTCCTAATTAAATAGATAAAAAAACAAAAACAAAAAAAAAACAAAAAAAAACACTAGGATTTAGTTCAGCCATCTTTACCCCTTTCCCACTGGCTGATAAACATGTTTAAACCCAGGAGCAATCTGGAGCATCTCACTGATGTACACTATATTGCCAAAAGTATTTGCTCACCCATCCAAATTATTGGAATCAGGTGTTCCAATCACTTCCATGGCCACAGGTGTATAAATTCAAGCACCTAGGCATGCAGACTGTTTTTACAAACATTTGTGAAAGAATGGGTCGCTCTCAGGAGCTCAGTGAATTCCAGCGTGGAACTGTGATAGGATGCCACCTGTGCAACAAATCCAGTCGTGAAATTTCCTCGCTCCTAAATATTCCACAGTCAACTGTCAGCTGTATTATAAGAAAATGGAAGTGTTTGGGAACGACAGCAACTCAGCCACGAAGTGGTAGGCCACGTAAACTGACGGAGCGGGGTCAGCGGATGCTGACGCGCATAGTGCGAAGAGGTCGCCAACTTTCTGCAGAGTCAATCACTACAGACCTCCAAACTTCATGTGGCCTTCAGATTAGCTCAAGAACAGTGCGCAGAGAGCTTCATGGAATGGGTTTCCATGGTCGAGCAGCTGCATCCAAGCCATACATCACCAAGTGCAATGCAAAGCGTCGGATGCGGTGGTGTAAAGCTCGCCGCCACTGGACTCTAGAGCAGTGGAGATGCGTTCTCTGGAGTGACGAATCGCGCTTCTCCATCTGGCAATCTGATGGACGGGTCTGGGTTTGGCGGTTGCCAGGAGAACGGTACTTGTCTGACTGCATTGTGCCAAGTGTAAAGTTTGGTGGAGGGGGGATTATGGTGTGGGGTTGTTTTTCAGGAGCTGGGCTTGGCCCCTTAGTTCCAGTGAAAGGAACTCTGAATGCTTCAGCATACCAAGACATTTTGGACAATTCCATGCTCCCAACTTTGTGGGAACAGTTTGGAGCTGGCCCCTTCCTCTTCCAACATGACTGTGCACCAGTGCACAAAGCAAGGTCCATAAAGACATGGATGACAGAGTCTGGTGTGGATGAACTTGACTGGCCTGCACAGAGTCCTGACCTCAACCCGATAGAACACCTTTGGGATGAATTAGAGCGGAGACTGAGAGCCAGGCCTTCTCGTCCAACATCAGTGTGCGACCTCACAAATGCGCTTCTGGAAGAATGGTCAAAAATTCCCATAAACACACTCCTAAACCTTGTGGACAGCCTTCCCAGAAGAGTTGAAGCTGTTCTAGCTGCAAAGGGTGGACCGACGTCATATTGAACCCTATGGATTAGGAACGGGATGTCACTTAAGCTCATATGTGAGTCAAGGCAGGTGAGCAAATACTTTTGGCAATATAGTGTATGTCTAGACGCGTCAAACGACTCGGAAAGCGAGCCCCATTAAAATCACCTGCATTCTCTCTGATCTGCATTCTGGTTGACCCGCTAATTACGTGATACCATTAAACGCAACGTACGGACGTTGACACACCACACCAGTCGCTTTTGATCTAACAAGCTGAAACAACTACATTGGATAAACATGGAGCAGCACTGGTGAGAGATTTGGACAGGTAAGAGTGAAACAATGCAGCACACTTGGTACATCTTGGCTTCCTGACATGTTTCTCTCCATTGATCATTGTCCTGATTTCTGTTGCACCGGTGACATCATCCACACTAACCCTGCATGATGGTGTCACCAGACACGCAGCCGTGGGGGACAGAGGTCACGCAGCTTGCCTGCACGGGGTCTGACCCAGCTTTTTTTGCCAACGGGAAGGGAGCCAGTTTTTGATTGTTAGCGGGTCGACCCATGTGGGAAAAACGCGCGTAAAGCCGGTATTTTCAGTGGGAAAGAGGTTTATTTGTCAATCTTATAGGTTAATAATTTAATAAATGACATGTTTCTTTAATGTATTAACTGTATATGTTAGGAATGTTAGAATGGTTTCATCCAAATGTTAACATTTTCTACTTGATTCATTCGGTTTTAAAACCAGATTAAGTCAAATTGATTTGGTTTTTTTTTTTTTTTTTCATTGTGGGACACATGCCATGTTTTTTGTTTTCTGTAGGAAAAAAACATTTGTTTCTGTAAATTCCAGACTGAGGCCCCGTCCACACGAAGTCAAAACCAACACGAAACGCTGATATTTTCCAAAACGTTTGCCGTAAAGACGGAGACGTAAAACAAATGTGAGCGTCCACACGAATGCATGAAAACGCTGCAAAATGTATGCCAGGCCTGTAAGTGGCGCTGTGGTGCCAAAGCAAAAATAAGCGACGAAATGTTGGGCATGCGCTGTAATATTTATACATGGTTGCCCTGCGGGTCCATTTTCGTGGTTCAGTCAAATTCAGGTGCTGAACTATGTCGTCGATATTGCTCTGTTCTTCCTGGAGATATTCCAGAAGAAGAAGATTCTGTTGTAAGCCCGACAGCAGGATGAGTAGCATTAGCAGCAACGGCGCCATTGTTGTTGTGATACTGTGTCGCGCATGCGTGTTTAGAGGCGACGCTATGACGCATGCGTGTAAAAAAAAAAATATGCGGTTAGAGCGTAAAGATGGAAACGCGAAAACGGCGTTTCGAAATCTTCCCACTCTGAAGGCTGAATAAAAAAAAGGTAGTTTACAGACCCCCGAAACGCCGGCTTCGTGTGGATGAGAGGCTGGTTTGGTGAAAAATTTGTGCGTTTAGGCCAGGGCTCGGCTTCGTGTGGACGGGGCCTGACTCAGCCTTGATATTTCCTTCTAAAAATCAAGCTGCTCATATTTTACTATAAGTTATTCTGAGTGTCCTAGAAAATTGAATCGATTCTCCACCATTTTTTTCTCTCCTGAACTAAAATGTAATGTGATGCTAGAGGAGAATTTCTCTTAGGCACTCCTCAAAATAAGAAAGCAAAGAGTCTGATGGTCCTGGCTTATCAGGAGGATGGCTAGAATAAAAAACTATTGAAACCTGCCCACAGCCGGAGCTACAGCTATTAAAACAGCTTGAAGTGTGACGATCATGGCTGGATTAGGATTCAGGTAGGAGGATTGATTAAGAGGGAGCAGGAAAATTGCCAAAGTTTCTACAACAGTGGTCAGATGGTATCTGAATGCTTAAGAAAAGCCTTTTCTCTCCTACCATTATAGATGTAAAGATGTAAAGTTGCAATTAAAGTCATAGGGAAGTCATATTTAAATGTCAAATCATTCTGGCATATATATTTATATAAATGTACTCTTTATCAGACGATATTGCCCCAAAAGTTAGAAAATTTCTATAAAAAAAAAAAACTCCTGTCTTAAAATCTGTGTTTGTTTTTGTTTTTTTTCATTATCTTATGCAGGCCAGTTACTTATACGTCAGCTTGAACACCTAAATTCGGCCAATCATATATCAACAGTCATCTGTCAATCAATATGTAGCAGCCAATATATGCAACGGTTGAAATAAGAAATCAGAATAATTTCCTTTCCCATTGAGTTCCGTCCCAGTGTTCACAGGGATGGACGTCTGTGTCTTCAGCAGGCGTAGAGCTAACAGAACTGGCAGCGTTGCGAGGCAAGGGATCAAACATGTACGGCTGTAAGCCTTCTACACCAAACCAAGTTTCTGCCTCCCTGGCGTTCTCTTCCACAACAACTTCGTCCCCGCTTTCCTCCTCTAAGTAAAAAATGGATGACGGAGGAGACTCATCCAGGACCAATGACACAAAACTCTCCTCTTGCATGTTTTCCGCTGTCGATAGCGTTCCTTGACAGTGTCGCTGCTAAGTCACCAGTTTAGTGCTACTTAGTGCTAGTAGGTTCCCAATGGGAAATTACACTAGGACCAAATTCCTAACTGGTTAGCAAGATGCTTCCGACAAACCGGCCACAGCCAAACATCCCACTCCCTTGATAAACGACCAATCATATTCACTTTATTCGCTCGTGTAAAGTTGGACACCACTCGGGAGAATTCAGAAATGCATCGGTTGGAATGACCATCCCTACGACTTTAAACTAGAACTGTGTTTTTTTGATCAAATGAGATGAAGATTGCAGCTTTTAAGCAACGCAAATTCCACATAGTTCCAGCATCGAGCAAATGATTATTGGAGGATCTGTAATGGTCTACTGAAGGCCACGGGAGTCTGATTTGAGTGCATCACTTTAACAATAATTGAAATAAGTAGTCTAAAAATTTTATTTATTTATTCAATATTTCAGCACAAACATCTGCATTATTGCTTAAACGAAAAAAAACTTTGTGTGTTATGACTCAAAGTTTGCTTTGAGACTCGATAACTGTGATAACTTTCTTGATTTATTATCCTATCCATAGTGGACATAAAATCCATCAGTTTAGGGGCTGGAAAATGTTGTAAGTCCCTGGTTTGAAGAATATATTTCATAATGTATTTTTTAAAAGAAAAGTGACTTTTTCCCCTTTAATAAATATGCGGTTTATGTATTCAGATTATGCTTTTTCAATAAAGACTCTTTAGACAACATTGTCATTGTTGCTAATAAATGCGCAGCGTGCTGTTTCTCTATTAGCAGCCCATTTTTAAAAAGTGGTTTCATCAATTAAACACCCATCTTGATCATTTCTGGATCTATTTCCTCCTTTTCCCTCTCATCTGCAGCTCTGCAGCAAAAGTTTCTTCAGGCTGAGGAACGTCCGGAACCACATCCGCACCCACGACCCAAAGTTATACAAATGCCGCAGCTGCATTGCGGCCGGTTCGTGAGGCGGCTGCTTCCAGCACAGGCGCACAGAGGTTGGCGACACCGAGCTTCACATCAGCTTTCCTCTCTGACTCACATTTATTAACTTTAGTTTGGAAAGCCTGTGCTTATCGATTCCCGTCAGATTCTCTCCTGCTTCATTAAGAGAAGTTGTTTATTTCAGGATGAAAGCCATCAGTGTCTCACCAGCAGCCATCAGACTGAAGCCGGAGACGCATGATGGATCCGCAGCTTGTATATACCGAATCCAGACACACTCGAGCACAACGGTCTGCAGAAAGGCTTCACTGCTGTTATCAACAACTACTATAATTATTTAAATAACCAAACCAAGGTTGCCGTTCCTGTTTGCTTCTTTGGTAGCTACAGAAACTTGAACATTACTCTCAGGGGGGTGGGGAATATGATGCCACGGTGTAAAGTGATTCCATATCACAGTTGTATAAAAAGAGAAAAAAAAAAGAAATGTAAAGTGATTGTTATAATTATTACGGCTACTTATTGTTACCTTTATTTTTCTATGTATAGATGAATGTGGAGTGCACTTATGTCATGGCTTTTGTTGTAAACCTAAGAAACGGTGATGAAGCTGAAGGTTTGGAGTCTGAGGTGGCAATACTTGAAGTTGGAAAAGGTGGGGTCCACTTGGTCTTTTTCCTGTCCTGTGCTGATGTTTCAATGACTTGACGTCTTTTGGCATTGATTTGGCGGGGAATGGGGTGGGTGTACGAAGACACCACTGCATGTGTATTTTCAGGCCATTTGTAGTCCTCTGTCTTTTCTAAGGCTGCTGGGTTTAAAAAAGGGAAAAGTGTCTTTTTTTTTTTTATGTGAATTTCTTAACTTTATTCAAGACGACAACGTCATGACAGATCAGAGGTTTTATTAATCTTCTTTTTAATGCAAGACCAAATCCTCTTGCTCTAATTAAAATTTCCCCTCCTACTGAATAAATGCAATGTGCACATACAGAGATGTTTATGTATCACAAATTGATTTTAGAAATAAATGAGCTGTCTCCTGCTATCTGTTAAAAGATTAAATAAATTTTGCCTTTTAATATTCAGTTTTGTGTTTGTTTTGTATCCAGACTTTTCAATGAAGGTGTCCAAACTGAATTTTGAGGTTTTTTTTCACGCTCTGTTAAAAAAAAACAACTAATGTATCGTTTGACGTCTTCTGAAATATAACCTGCTTAATATTTAAGGAAATCTGAGAAACTACTTTTTTCTTCACTTTTGTGAAAGCTGATGGGTTTTTTTTCTTGCGTAGTTAAAAGTAACTTTGACAAATAACGAGCAATCGAGCTCAAAATTTCAGCAGAAGTTAACCATAATTAGAAGTAACTGTAAGCTGAAAATCAAGAATGTGGGATAGTTTTTTTTTTTTCTCCTATCTTTGCATTGGTGTCCTAATTTTGGCAGGGTCAGCCTGATTTTCTGCTTCGACATAATAAAAGAGCAGAAACTTTATATGTGTAAGGCAGAGAGATTTAATGAGGAAACATTAAGAGCTGTAACAACGCATAATATTAAAGATGTAAATTAAAATACTACATATTTGTGGAGAGGAATGGGGATAATTTCAGGCAATGTAGAATAAAATAAAAAAGATGTTAAAATGAGGATGTTGAAACAGAATCTGTGCTGGAAGGGAGAGCTTCCAGTCTGAATAACTTTTCACCTAAACAAACTTTCAACATACCAGTAAAAACATGCAAAAAGCTGGTCAGCACTTATTAATGGAAGCGTAGTTCTTTTTTTTACTGACAAATGGTTCTCTAAAAGGAGTTCTAAAAAGTTCCAAATAACATGTTTCAACTGTCGGTCTTCCTATAAAATAAGTTTTAAAGTAATTATTTTAAAAGCTATAAATCATTTCATGATTTATTTCATTTTATTTTTTATGTATTATGGAAATTAAATTTATTAAATTAAATTTTTCTACACTTGTATTTTTAGAGATAATTATAGGAATCCACTTAAATCTGTCAGATCAATGATTTTGGGCATAACCTCATATTGTGTTTATCATTTTGGCATCTGTTGTATATGATTAATTTATCCAGTCTATCAACAAAATATTTTAAAAGGATAAAACGGAACAATCCATTAACTTGGAAAAGTGATTATCACAGGATAAAAAAAAACCCCCTGTTAATTTGCAACCTGGAAATAATTAGATATGTTTATATGTTAAGAATGTGGTAAATCAAGTGCTAACAGAAGAGTTAAGGTGATTATCTTCTTTAGGTAATCGCCCAGTAAATGTCGGAACAATCCCTTCAGATACCATTACAACATACAGTGAGGAAAATAAGTATTTGAACACCCTGCTATTTTGCAAGTTCTCCCACAGAAATCATGGAGGGGGTCTGAAATTGTCATTGTAGGTGCATTTCCACTGGGAGGCAGTGCATGATTTTTATTAACCATTTATTTGTATGATAAAGCTGCTAATAAGTATTTGAACGCCTGAGAAAATCAGTGTTAATATTTGGTACATTAGCCTTTGTTTGCAATTACAGAGTTCAAACATTTCCTGTAATTTTTCATCAGATTTGCTCACATTGCAGAAGGGATTTTGGCCCATTCCTCTAAACAGATCTTCTCTAGATCAGAAAGGTTTCTGGGCTGTTGCTAAGAAACACAGAGTTTGAGCTCCCTCCAAAGCTTCTCTATTGGGTTTAGGTCTGGAGACTGGCTAGGCCACACCAGAACCGATATATACTTCTTCCAGAGGCACTCCTTGGTTATCCTGGCTGTGTGCTTCGGGTAATTGTTTGAAAACCCGGCCTCGACCCATCTTCAGTGTTCCAAGTGAGAGAATGAATTTGTTCCCCAAATGCATGGCCCTGGTCACCCTCTACTTAATACAGCACAGCTGCCTATCAGTAATAGAAAAACACCCCCAGAGCACGATGCTACCACCCCCATGCTTCACAGTAGGGATGGTGTTCTTGGGATGGTACTCATCATTCTTCTTCCTCCAAACACTTTTAGTGGAATTATGACCAAAAAGTTCTTTTTTGGTCTCATCTGACCACATGACTTTCTCCCATGACTTCTCTGGATCATCCAAAGGATCATTGACAAACTTAAGATGGGCCCTTACAATTTGCTGATTAATCAGGGGAACCTTCCGTGCCATGCATGAATTCAAACCATCATGTGTATTACCAACAGTAACCTTTGGAAACGGTGGTCCCAGCTCTTTTCAGGTCGTTGACCAGCTCCTCCCGTGTAGTTCTTGGTTGATTTCTCTACTTTCTTAGGATCAGTGAGACCCCACAAGGTGAGATCTTGCATGAAGCCCCAGTCTGAGGGAGATTAACAATCATGTTTAGCTAATGAATTCTCCAACAGTGGACCTTTTTTCACCAAGCTGCTTGGGAATTTCCCCGTAGCTCTTTCCAGCCTTGTGGAGGTTTACAATTTTGTGTCCTTGGACAGCTCTTTGGTCTGGGCCATGTTAGTTGTTGGATTCTTACTGATTGTATGGGGTGGACAGGTGTCTTCATGCAGCTAACGACCTCAAACAGGTGCATCTAATTAAGGATGTTAAATGGCGTGGGCGTGGATATTTTGAAGCCAGACTAACAGGTCTTTGAGGGTCAGAATTCTAGCTAATAGACAGGTATTTAAATACTTATTTGTGGCTCTATAATAGAAACAAATAGTTTAAAAAATCACACGTTGTGATTTCTGGATTTTTTTTTAGTTAAGGTCTCTCACAGTGGACATGCACCTAGGATGACAACTTCAGACCCCCTCCATGATTTCTAAGTGGGAAAACTTGCAAAATAGTACAGTAGGGTGTTCAAATGCTTATTTTCCTCACTGTCATAGGGGTCATTTTTTCTATTCTTGCTCATATGTATCATGGAATTAGGTTTATATTTCGGTGTATAAATTAGATCTGTTCATGTTGGAGTCCCTTCCCTTATTATTAATTGATTAATATTGATGCTGGCAGGCATCATTTAGGTCACAACGTCTGTATCAATAAAAACAAGTAAGATAAACATTCAATTAGAATTTAAATTAATAAGGGTTTCTTTCAGCAAATCAAAGGACCGCCCTCTCAACTCTTCAATACTGAATTGTTTTGTTTTTCAAAACACACAGGGTAAAGTGGAAGAAATAACTACAATTTTTATAGTAGAAATTCTTGGTTAAAGCTGAAATACTTGTGTTAAATACAGGTGCTGGTCATAAAATTAGAATATCATGAAAAAGTAGATTGATTTTAGTAATTCCATTTAAAAAGTGAAACTTGTATATTATATTCATACATTACATACAAACCCATATATTTCAGATGTTTATTTTGTTTAATTTTGATGATTACAAATGACAACAAATGAAAATCTCAAATTCATCATATCAGAAAATTAGAATATTGTGAAAAGGTTCAAAATTGATGGCCCCTGGTGCCACACTCTAATCAGCTAATTAACTCAAACCACCTGCAAAAGCCTTTAAATGGTCTTTCAGTCTAGTTCTATAGGCTACACAATCATGGCGAAGACTGCTGACTTGACAGTTGTCCAAAAGACGACCATCGACACCTTGCACAAGGAGGGCAAGACACAAAAGGTCATCGCTAAAGAGGCTGGCTGTTCACAGAGCTCAGTGTCCAAGCACATTAATAGAGAGGCGAAGGGAAGGAAAAGATGTGGTCGAAAAAAGTGTACAAGCAAGTGAGATAACCGCACCCTGGAGAGGATTGTGAAACAAAACCCATTCAAAAATGTGGGGGAGATTCACAAAGAGTGGACTGCAGCTGGAGTGAGTGCTTCAAGAACCACCACACACAGACGTATGAAAGACATGGGTTTCTGCTGTCGCATTCCTTGTGTCAAGCCACTCTTGAACCACAGACAGCGTCAGAAGCGTCTTGCCTGGGCTAAAGAGAAACAGGACTGGACTGCTGGTGAGTGGTCCAAAGTCATGTTCTCTGATGAAAGTAAATTTTGCATTTCCTTTGGAAATCAAGGTCCCAGAGTCTGGAGGAAAAGAAGAGAGGCACTTCATCCACGTTGCTTGAAGTCCAGTGTAAAGTTTCCACAGTCAGTGATGGTTTGGGGTGCCATGTCATCTGCTGGTGTTGGTCCATTGTGTTTTCTGAGGTCCAGGGTCAACGCAGCCACATACCAGGAAGTTTTAGAGCACTTCATGCTTCCTGCAGCTGACCAACTTTTTGGAGATGCAGATTTCATTTTCCAACAGGACTTGGCACCTGCACACAGTGCCAAAGCTACCAGTACCTGGTTGAAGGACCATGGTATCCCTGTTCTTAATTGGCCAGCAAACTCTCCTGACCTTAACCCCATAGAAAATCTATGGGGTATTGTGAAGAAGAAGATGCAATACACCAGACCCAACAATTCAGAAGAGCTAAAAGCCACTATTAGAGCAACCTGGGCTATCATAACACCTGAGCAGTGCCACAGACTGATCGACTCCATGCCACGCCGCATTGCTGCAGTAATACAGGCCAAAGGAGGCCCAACTAAATACTGAGTGCTGCACATGCTCATACTTTTCATGTTCATACTTTTCAGTTGGCCAACATTTCTATAAATCCTTTGTTTTTATTGGTCTTCAGTAATATTCTAATTTTCTGATATGATGAATTTGAGATTTTCATTTGTTGTCATTTGTAATCATCAAAATTAAACAAAATAAACATCTGAAATATATGAGTTTGTATGTAATGTATGAATATAATATACAAGTTTCACTTTTTAAATGGAATTACTGAAATCAATCTACTTTTTCATGATATTCTAATTTTATGACCAGCACCTGTATAGTTAAACTATTCGAAAGAACAAACATTCTACAGAAATAAGACTCTCAGAAAGACTTTCATAAAAATGCATATATATGTGAATTAATAAAAAAAAACAACCCTGATTTAAAAATCCTTTTGCCCTGCTTCTTGTCTTCTGGATGAGTTTTAGTCTGGTTAACCAGAGACACCACTTCTATAAAACTGGCCCAGTGTAAAAGGTTCTAGATGTGTCAGAACATGGATCAGCTCAGCTGAGACATGCAGCTC